CCTCGCAGCTGGAGGCTTCCAAGTCAAGAGAGGGAGCCCTTCCTCCTCCAGCCCCAACTCCTGTGCCCACAGACCCTGAAACACTCCCTTAGAAATGACCGAGAGGAGGGCCTTGGGGAGCTGGGTGCAGGATGGATATGGGGGTGGGTCTGGCCCAGGACCACTGACCCTGTGATTTTCCAAAAGGAGGTCCTGGGAGCTGATTAGGATGAGTTCCTGGAGAGTGAGGGAGGAGGCGATTGAGTGGAGGCCCTAAGGGTCCTGGGCTGATACACTTGGGAACCCCGAGGGGGCCAGGAGGCTGAGGGTTGGAAGCTTTCAGGGGAGGGTCGGTGGTGCACCGGAAAGCAGGGGCTCATCCCACCCTCACCCTGTTTGCCCAGTGTGTTCTCTTTCTTGGAAAATTTCTGACTGAACTGAAGATGCTGGACACTAGGATGGAGGATTACCTGGAGGTGGGCGACCTGGGGCCTGGGTCAGGGTGACCAGGATTGGCCTTTTGGAACGGAGAGCCCCCGAACTGAGCCCTAAATCTCAGTACAACTGCCCGTTGGAGCTGGGGAGACATGCCCATCATAGTGATGCATATCCCCCCTTGCTGGAGCCCAGAGCCTAGCCTGGGTCAGAGCCCTGCCTTTCCCTGTTTCCTGGCCCCTCTTGGGACCTGGTTGTACTGCAACATGAGAAGGGTGGGCATAGGGAGGTGGTTCTGGCCAGGGGGCTCTTTCTTTTTTCTTTTTAAAAAAATGTTACATGAAATAACCATTAATATTTCAAGAATAACATTTTAAATATAATAATATTATATGCAATAAACATTAATATTTCAAGAAAAAAGATTTTAAATAATATTACCAAAGCTGTACTAACATAGTATAATATCACAAAAGTTGTAGGAAAAATAAAAACCTGCAAATAACAGGATTACTTCTATTATTTTCTAAAATACTTTTTATCCCTGGCTGTATGTTTGTTCATCAGTCTATGTTGTTCACTATATTCCACAAATGAGTGCGATCATGTGATATTTATCTTTCTCCAACTGGCTTATTTCCCTTAGCATAATGCTCTCCAGGCCCATCCATGCTGTTGCAAATGGTAAGACTTCCTTCTTTTTTACTGAAGCGTAGTGTTCCATTGTGTAAATGTACTACGGTTTTTTAATCCACTCATCTGCTGATGGGCACTTAGGCTGTTTCTAAATCTTTAGCTATTGTAAATTGTGCTGCTATGAACATAGGAGTGCATATAATCCTTTCTGACTGGCATTTCAGGTTTCTTATAGTCCTAGAAGTGGGATTACTGGGTCAAATGAGAGTTCCATTTTTAATTTTTTGAGGAAATTCCGTACTGCTTTCCACAGTGACTGCAACTGTCGGCATTCCCACCAGCAGTGCAAGAGGATCCTTTTTCTCAGCATCCTCGCCAGCACTTGTCGTTTATTGATTTGTTGATAGCCATTCTGACAGGTGTGAGATGATACCTCATTGTCGTTTTGATTTGAATTTCTTGGATGATTAGTGACTTTGAGCATTTTACTTCCGTATTTTCTCTTTCGAAAAGTGTCTATGCAGGTCCTTTGCCCGTTGCTTGATTGGATTGTTTCTCTTCTTTTCCTTAAGTTGTATGAGTTCCCTGTAAATTTTGGAGATGAAACCCTTACCAAAGCCCCTTTCCCCAGCTGCCAGTAAGGTGCTTGGTTCTACTGAGGAAGCTAAGGCTGCGTTGGGGTGAGGCCCTCACTTTATCCAGAGACTAGCCCCGCTCCAGGCAGCACTGGCCAAGCACTCACCCTCACAATGGCCACAGTCTCAGAGTTCACCTGCCTCTACTCACACCTGATCCTGCACACGGATGAAGTGTTGGTGACTGAGCATAAGATCAATACCCTCATTACAGTAGCTGGTGTAAATGTTGAAGCTTTCTGGCCAGGCTTGTATGCAAAGCTGAGGGGGACTAAGTAGACGCAAAGAAAGAAGAATCTGAGGAGTCTGAGGATGACATGGGCTTTAGTCTTTTTCACTAAACTAGCTCTTTTGTAATACATTCAGTAAAAGCTGACCTCTGTTGCAAAAACAAAACAACAAAACAAAACAAACCGTATCGAAGATAGCATTGGCAAATATGTCCTCCCATGCAGTGGGGTTTCTTGTTGTTTTATTGATGGTTTCTTTTGCTGTGCAGAAGCTTTTTATTTGGATGTAGTCCCATTTGTTTATTTTCTTCTTAGTTTGCATTTCCAAGGAGCTGTATCGGTACAGGTACTGTTTGAGGTAGGTCTGATATTTTGCTCCCTGTGGATTCTTCTTAGATTTTTATGGTTTCCTGTCTTACATTTAAGTTCTTTATCCATTTGACTTTATTTTTCTGTATGGTGTATGTTGGTGGTCTAGTTTCATTTTTTTGCAAGTATCTGTCCAGTTTTCCCAACACCATTTATTGGAGAGACTATCTTGACTCCATTGTATGCTCACGCCTCCTTTATCAAATATTAATTAAGCATAATGGCTTGGTTCAATTTCTGAGTTCTCTGTTCATTTCCATTGGTCCATATGTCTGTTCTTGTGCCAGTACAAGGCTGTTTGGAGCACAGTCGCTTTGTAATATCGCTTGATATCTGCTATTGTGATCCCTCCAACTTTGTTCTTCGCTCTCAGGATTGCTGTGGCTATTCTCGATCTTCTTTTATTCCATATGAAATTTTGAGTTTGTTCTAGGTTTGTGAAATAAGCCGTTGGTATCATAATGGGCATTGCATTGAATCTATAGATTGCCTTGTATGGACATTTTAATGTTGATTCTACCAATTCATGAACACAGTATGTCTTCCATTTGTTTATGTCTTCCTTTATCTCTTTTTTCAACGTCCTGTAGTTCTCCAAGTACAGGTCTTTTACCTCCTTAGTTAAGTTTATTCCTAGGTATCTTAGTTTTTTTGTTGCAATGGTAAATGGGATTGTTTTTTTTTTTAACTTCTCTTTCTGTGAGTTCATTGTTGGTGTATAAAAAAGCCATAGATTTCTGTTGTTAATTCTGTACCCTGCTACATGCTGAATTCATTTATTAAGTCTAGTAGTTTTTTGATGGGTTTTTGGGGTTTTCTATGTACAATATCATCTCATCTTTGAATAATGACAGTTTTACTTCTTCTTTTCCAACTTGGATGCCTTTTATTTCCTTTTCTTGTCTGATCACTATGGCTAGCACTTCTAGTACTATGTCAAACAGGAGTGGTGAAAGTGGGCATCCCTGTTCTGTTCCTGTTCTTAGGGGCAATAGTTTTAGGTTTCGCCCATTGAGTATGATGTTGCCTGTAGGTTTGTCACATATGGCCTTTATCATGTTGTGATATGCTCCCTCTATTCCCACTTTGCTGAGAGTTTTTATCAAAAATGGGTGTTGGATTCTGTCAAATGCTTTCTCTGCATCTATTGATATGATCATGTAATTTTTGTCTTTCAATTTGTTTATGCGATATATCACGTTTATTGATTTGCAAATAATGTACCAGCCTTGCATCTCTAGAATAAATCCCACTTGATCATGATGTATGATCCTTTTAATACATTGCTGGATGCACAATTTGCTAATATTTTGTTGAGGATTTTAGTATCTATGTTCATCAGGGATATTGGCCTGTAATTCTCTTTCTTTGTAGTGTCTTTATCTGGTTTTGGAATTAGGATAATGCTGGCCTCATAAAAAGAGTTGGAATTGTTCTTTTCTCTTGGATTTTCTGAAATTGTTTGAGGAGTATAAGTGTTAGTTCTTCTTTGAATGCTTAGTAAAACTCCCCCGTGAAGCCGTCCGGACCTGGGCTTTGTTTTGGGGGAAGTTTTTGATTACTGCTTCTATTTCATCAGTTTTTATTGGCCCATTCAGGTTTTTTATTCTTCTTGATTCAGTTTTGGGAGATTGCATTTTTCTAGGATTTTGTCTATTTTACCCACATTGCCCAGCTGTTGGTAAATAGTTCTTTATAGTATTTGATTATAATCCTTTGTATTTCTGTGGTGTATGAGTTCCCTGTAAATTTTGAGTTATGCCTGTAGTGCTATAAACTTCCCTCTCAGGACTGCTTTTGCTGTGTCCCAGAGATTTTGGATTGTTGTGTGTTCATTTTCATTTGTTTCGAGGAAGGTTTTGATTCCTTTCTTGATCTCCTTGGTACCCAGTCATTGTTTAATGACATGCTTTTTAGCCTCCATGTGTTTGAATGTTTTGGGGTGTTACTCCTGTAGTTGATTTGTAATTTCATACCACTGTGATCTGAGAAGATGCTGGATATAATTTCACTGTCCTGGAACTTGTAGAGAATTGTTTTGTGTCCTAACGTGTGGTCTATCTTTGTGAATGATTCATGTGCACCTGAGAAGAATGTATAGTCTCCTGCGTTGGGGTAAAATGTTCTATAAATGTCAATTAAATCCCCCTGATCCAATGTGTCCTTTACAGTGTCTGTTTCATTATTAAGTTTTTGTCTGGAACAAGTATGCCGTGAAGTGAGAGGTGTGTTAAAGTCCCCTACTGTGACTGTATTGTTGTTGATCTCTCCATTAAAGGTCTCTAGAAGTATTTTTTTTATATATACTTAGGTGCTCTTATATTGGGTGCTTATATGTTTACCAGGGTTATATCTTCTTGTTGGATCGATACCTTTACTATTATGTACTGACCTTTTCTGTCTCTTGTGATGGCTTTCATTATGAAGTCTATTTTGTTGGATATGAGTGTTGCTACTCCAGCTGAATTTTTTCCCATTTGCATGAAAAAATTATTTCTATCCCTTTACTCTCATCCAATGTGTGTCTCTTGTTTTGAGGTGGGTCTCTTGTAGACAGCATTTGGTTGGGTCATGTTTTTGTATCCATTCAGCTCCCCTGAGTCTTTTGATGGGAGCATTTAGTCCATTTTTCTGTGGGGTTATTATTGATAGGTACGTATTTATTTCCATTCTAATTGTGTCTGGCTAGGTTTCTCTCCCTATTTCTTCTTCTCATAAAAATATGCAACTTTTCATGAATTTGCGTGTCATCCATGTGCCGATCCCATGCTAATCTTCTGTCTATCGATGCAATTTTAGTTTATGTGCAGCCGAAGTGAGCACCAGGAGCCTCTTTCTGATGGACTTTGGCTGTCTGCCTTCCAGGGGAATCAGATCCACTTAGAAAAACAGAAGAAGGTGAGCAGTGTGGGCTCTCCTTTGGGGCAGCAGAACGGAGTGACAATCATTGAATCCCTGGCCAGCACAATCCTGGGCTCCATCCCTGCATCTTCCATTTATTGGGAGACTTTGATAAGAGAAGTGGGAGACCCCTCCACTTGGTGGCCGGGGGTAGGGTGTGGCATCAAGGATAACCTCCTGGAGGAAGGTCAGTGCCCGTCTCTGAGCACAGGAAGGGCCTGGATGGAATTAGGGGGAAAGACAGTGCCCTTAACTGAAGACTCGGGACAGGTCAGCTGACCCACTCTTCACCCCCACTCAGGCAGTGTCCGCATCCTCTCCTTCCCTCTGGCCCCGGGAGCAGAAATTAATGGAGGAGATAGTGTTTCCACAGGAGGCTGCCCAGGAATATCAAATAGAGCCTGAGGAGCAATTCAGGGCCTAGTTCTGGGCCCTGGCGCAGCTCAGCGAGAATGAGAGGTGAGGCCAAGCAGGTGTTGAGCAAGAGCAGGGGTGGACTCTCCTTGCTGGTCACGGCACAGAACCTGTGTCCATGGCTCCCCGGTCCTCCCCAGACCTTCCTGTGTAGCCATTCCTGGGGCCCCTGACACGGGGAGGGACACCTGAGTTGTGGCTCCTGGGAACGCACAGGTGCCACTCTGTCCTGCAGTTACATACGGTCTTGCCAGTGGAACACTCAGACTTTTCTCCTGAGACAAACGGAAGTCAGTGGATGATTGACAGCAGAAGTGGAAATGATTTTTATCATGAGCTCATTTTTATGGCCTTTGACCTCATGGAAAACATGTTTGTGTCCAAAATCTCTCATTTTGGAAACTCGTAAGTTTTAGCTAAAAGTTTCATGTTGTCAGGAAATACAAAAGATTCTTTTTAAGGGTAACACAACAAATGCCTTATATTTTTCTGGATATGTGTAATGGCCAGCCATGAAATTCTACTTGAAAACCAGAAAAAACTATAAGAACCAAAACAATTTAGGAAGTTGTGACGTTTTTCATGACTGTAATATAAATGTTTTCCTTCAGCTATGTTAGTACGTGATTTAAAAGAGGAGAAAAACATAAAGAAAACAGCATAGCAAGAAGCTTAAAGATTGGTCATGATGACATGGAATGGAGTGGAAATAGAAAGAAATATAAATGGTCAGCAGAGCGCCAGGCAACTGATTGTCCTAAGAATATGCTGAGAAAGGAATGAAGTGGAATACTCAAGAAAACATGTGTGAGGTTGAGGAAGGGAACAAATCTGACAGATTTGTGTGTCTGAATTTTATTGCATTAATGTTCTGTGACACAATTAGTTGAGTGCATCTAATTCTCAACCCAGTGTCTTGCCACAATGCAATTTGATTGTAGGCATGGATTTATTTTTATAAATACAATTTGGTTCAGAAAAAAATTAAAACATTGCCCACTTTTAGGCAAAACCAACCCCGGTGCTCCTTTCCAGAGGATTATACCAGACACACGTATTTATCCCCACCTTCAATACTCAAATACATCCATAATTTATATCTAGAGACCAATTTCTTCACCTTTACAATTAAGCAATTGGACTAGGTACAATTCTTTCTTTTCAAAAAGAGTTGATTTTTTTATTGCAGAAATACTTCGTGGTTATAGGTGGAAAAGAGAAAAGTTTAAAATAAGTGATCATTCACACACAATGTTGGAAATCATTATACATATCTTTATATGTATCCTTTCAGATATGCTCACAGTATATATACATATATACTTATCTATATTTATGAACCATTTTTTGTTATATCACTCTTTGATAATGTATTCTATTAATATAAAAATATTTCTGGAATATTATACTTTCTTGTAACTTTTGTCCTGCTCTATCATCAATCATATCATTTGGCTGTAGTTAATGGACATGAAATTAATTTGTTTTCTGCTTTATGAACAGTTCTATGATGATCATCATTGTATAGGTACCTCGATACATTTATTCAATTCGTTTTGAATCAATTCCTGCCAATAAAACCAGTTTCAAAAGTTACACATATTCTAAATTTTTGAATGTATGAATTTTCAATCATTTGATTGAATTTCCTTGGAATTTTGATTTGGATCTCATCTGATTTGTAGACTCATGCCCTGGCTCCTTTATCACGTATGTATTGAGCGCCTCCTATGGGCCAGGCACTAGAAACACAGTGCTCAATCCAAAGTGCTTGTCATGATGGCATGTTTGCATGAAAGAGTCAAGCCAGCTGGCACATGCATAAAGCGAAATCAGGATGTGCTGCGTGCTCTGAACTAAAGGTAAAACAGAGAAGAAGACAAATGGTGAGGAGGTCAGGTCGTGTGTAGGATGATATGAAGATTGGTGGGATCGAGGTGATAGTTGAGGCTGCTGTGGGGATGTGCATAGGTAACTAGCAAAATAGAAATATCCCAGCTGAGCCCTGACTTTGGGATCTGGTTCCAAAGTTTTCTCAGTGACTCTGGATTGTTTTTTTAAAGTTTTTTTTTAAAGCTTGTATTTACAAGTAAAATAATTGATATTTTTAGTGTAATACTATTTTAATTCTTGAGGAATAAGAATGGTAGTATTTCCATTTTACATATAGTGCGGCTTGTTCAGTAGCACTTAAAGTTAAATTTTGGATGATGCCCTAGGTCACTAATCAAGGGGGAAATAGTACAATTCAGAACCAGAATATATCGCTTCCAACTGCCAAAATGGCTGTTATGAAAAAAACAAGAAGTAACAAGTATTGGTGAGAACGTGGAGAAAAAGGAATCCTTGTGCACTGTTGGTAGGATTGTAAATTGGTGCACCCACTATGGAAAACAGTATGGAAATTCCTCAAAACCTTAAAACTAGAACTAGCATATGACCCAGCAATTTCTCTTCTGGTTATTTGTAGAAATCCAAAACACTAATTCAAAAGGATATATTTGCTTCTGTGTTTCTTGCAACATTATATACAATACTACAGATATGGAAGCAACGTAAGTGTCCATCGGCAGATAATTGGATAAAGAAGATGTGGTACATATATACTGTAGAGTATGATCCTATATAACAAAGAGCTAATATGCAAATGGTCATCATGCCCTCATGCCCTCACACCTTAACGGCTCAGACACTCAACACTGGGGAGAGTGGAATGGGGACCAGTCAGGCACAAAGGAGCTCATGAGACAGGAATGGGGACCAGCCAGGCTGTGGCCCAGCAGAGGGACAAGCTGCCAGCCCCGTGGTCGTGGGCGCCAGCGGCTGTGCCTGTGCCTGCAGCCCAGGAGAGCGACAAGCTGCAGGCCTCACAGTCCCAGGTGCCAGCACCTGCTGCTGCGACCCAGGAGAGGGACAAGCCACTCACCCCGTGGTCCAGGGTGCCAGTGCCTATGGCTGCAGCCCGGGCGAAGCTGCCCACCCACGGTCCCCTGTGGCTGCGGCCAGCTCAGGCAAAGCCGGCCCAGGTCCTTGGTGCCTGCGGCCGGCCAGAGGGAGAGAAGTCCAGGTCCCAAGTGCCTGCGACCAGGTGGAGGAGGGAATTCTGGGTCCTGGGTGTGGGGTGAGGCCGAGGCAGTTAGGGGCGATCAGGCCAGTAGGAGAGCAGTTAAGGGTGATCAGACAGGCAGGCAGAGGGGTTAGGGGCAATCAGGCAGGCAGGCAGGTGAGTGATTAGGAGCCAGCGGTTCCGAATTGTGAAAGCAAGTCAGATATCCCCCAAGAGGTCCCAGATTGGAGAGGGTGCAGGCCGGGCTGAGGAACCCCGCCACCCCTGTGCATGAATTTCATGCACCAGGTCTCTAGTCTATATACATAAAAGCCCAGCAACCTGAACAGTGAAACGACCAAAGCAACCAGAATGACGGTTGGCTATGACACGTACTGCAGCAGCCAGTCAGCTTGATCTGGGCCCCGACGCTGCCCCTCTACCCGCTGGTCCAGCCCCCCCGTCCCCCTACACCACAATTAGGGGTGGGGCTAGCCAGCCAACCACCCGCGGCCCGTCCCATCTCCCGAACCAGCCTCATGGGCCCTCATTCTAAAATGGGAACACACACAGAAATCTAACTTTAAAATGGGTACACACACAGAAATCTAAGTCCAGGATATAAACGGGAAATTCACAGAGAGATACAGTTGGGCTGTGAGGAAGAGGATGAAGAAGACCCCAGATTTGCATAAAATTCAGGGCTCTAGGCCTCCTGTATCTGTATAACTCGGTCTCCAAGACCCAGTTTCCCCCAATTTTAGAATAGGGGATTATGAGAGTTTCTAACCCCAAAGGATTAATACAGGTCATTTCCCTCCCCGCTCCCCCTCTGCTGGCACCACAGGGTGGACGGGACCAGATTTCATGAAGGACGTGGCTTAGTCATTTCTTGCCGTGGAGCAATATCTCCACTGGCCTAGTGACACTACACATTCGTGACTGTCTGAGAGCTTCTGCAGTCAGGAGCAGGGCATGGTGTAAGCGGTCCCTCTGAATCAGGGCTCACCAGACCAGGGTTTTGGCTGAGACGGTGGTCTCCCCTGAGTGTCTAGGAGGAAAGGAGATGCTTCCAATCTCACTCGGTTGTGGGCAGAATTCGGTTTCCTGCAGGTGTAGGACTGAGGGTGGATTTCTTGTGGCCATGGCTGCAGGCGTCCTCAGCTCCGAGAGGCCACAGGGAGCTTCAGGGGTAACCCCAGCGTGGCCACTTGGTGCTGCAGAGCCCACAGAGCAGAGCGCCAGCAACTCCAGCAGAATGGGCGCTGCAGTCTGTGTGAGGAACCCGTCAATGTGTCGGTGCCACCACGGTGGACATTGCTCTCCTGCTGTCCTCAGATGTGTTCCTGGATGGGGCTGGATGGAATTAGGATAAGTGGGGTGGATGCCGGGGTGTCCTACCAAAAGCCACCATTGGGGTTGAGTGACAGTGTGTGTGTGAGGAGGGTGTGGGCACGAGGTGCCTGTGGACTTAGAAACTTGAGAAAAGTGGCCGCTGAATTGTCATTGAATGATCTGACTGGGTGTGTCTCTGTCCCACAGCCTGACCATTCCCTGACCCAAGGCCCTGACGGTCATCAAGTGGAGCAGGGTACCAGGAAAGGAAGCACTTACTGGGCTTTCCCCCAAAGGCCTTGGCTGGGAGCCCAGGGTCACCGTCCATGGAACCACCAGGGAGGAGGCGTGTTCTCCTGAGAGCTGGGCTGCATCTGTGATTCGTGGGGGCAGGAGTCCTGCAGCTGTGGGTGCCGGGTTTGCGTTTCCTCCAGCTCCCACTCTAGCACCCAAACTAGCCATCCCTGACCAGGCCCTTCATGGACTTCCACCCTCTGCCCTGTGCACAGGTGCAGGCCCCGGTTCATGCAGCCCAACCCATGGCCCAGGGGCCACCGCAGGGAAGTTCCCGTGTCCCAGGAGGAAATGGGTGAGAAGCTGCTGCCCGAGTCCAGCCCCCAGGGATGTTCAGGACCGATGGTGTGACTAGAACTTCTGGGCAGCCCTAGGCTATCAGTTTCAATAAAAGTAATTGAGGGGAAATACATGTCACACAAAACTGACCATCTGAGTCGTTTTTACGTCTACAGTTCACTGGTATGACGTATATTCACACTGCTGTGCAACCACCCCTCCCCCACCTCCACAATTTTTTCATCATGCAAAACGGTAGCACAACCCCCTATCCCACACTCTCCCATCCTCTGGTAGCCACCCTTCCACTTTCCCTTGTTTGTGACTATGAGGGAAACAGAAATGTCATGAAAGTGGAATCGTCCATATTTGGCCTCCTGTGATGGGATCATTTCCCTTAACACAGTGCCCTCAAGGTGCATGTGCTTGGTCCCAGCAGGTGTCAGAATTCCCCTCCTTCTGAGGCTAATACTGTGGGAGCACATGGTGTTAGATGGCAGGGGTGGGGGGGGGCAGGGCTGGCAGCTCCCTGCCCACTGCCCCTGTGGGCTCCTTCCTTGGAGACTGAGGTACCCCTTCAGGGCTGCAGGTTCCCAGCACCACATACCCATCCAGGTCTGGGAGCCGGGAACACACCTCCAGGTACTTCTGGGAGGTGAGGTCCTCGTCCTGGCCGCACAGACAGCCCTGCACTTTCATTCAGCTGGTTTCAATACTGGGCACATGTCCAATTTTAAACAAAAGTTGAATTTCTAGCATCCAAAGGAGCCATTCAAATATCTCAGCCCAGGCCCTTCCATGCAACAGGAGCAGCCAATGACATGGACCCTGAGAGTGTCCCCCTCGCCCCTGCCTGTTCCACCTGAGCCTCCCGGCAGTATCTGTTCCTCTTCTTGGCTTCCAGGCCCAGGGCAGGGGCAGGTTCTGTCCTCAGCTCAGTGCTCCTGCCTTTCCCTGGAGAAGGCTTGGCTGAGCCTGAAGGCCACTCCCACCCCCACCCAGGAGGTTCCATCTTCCTCCAGAAGCCCCAGGACCCTGAGAAGCTCTGGCCTCAAACCATGAACAGACCCTACAGATCTATGATCTGACCCAACTCTTCACAAGGGCGATGTGAGGCCAGGGCAGGAAGGGACATGGGCAAGGCCTTCCATAGAGGCACTTATTCTACATACATCCTGTTATGGAGGGCTTCCTACTGTTGGCCAGGCACTAGTCCCCACCCTCAGGCGCTTACAGACACTGGAAGGAGGTGTTTAAGTGGATTTAGAACATATAGACACCCCCTTGTGATATGCCAAGTGTTCCCTCCATTTTTGAAACATTAATTTTTTAACACTCTCCATAGCCTCTGAGAGGATAGGCTTTTTACTATTGCTGAGTGTCCGATGGGGAAACTGAGGCACAAACAACACTGCTGTCAATCTTTTTTTTTGTTTTTAAATATATTTTATTGATTTTTTTACAGAGAAGAAGGGAGAGGAATAGAGAGAAACATCGATGAGAGAGAAACATCGATCAGCTGCCTCCTGCACACCCACTCCTGGGGATGTGCCCACAACCAAGGTACATGCCCTTGGCCGGAATCGAACCCTGGACCCTTCAGTCTGCAGGCCCACGCTCTATCCACTGAGCCAAACCGGTTAGGGCACTGCTGTCAATCTTTGCACCCCTAGAGTACAAATATTAACACCACACAAGGTCTGTGGAGCAGGCATCGGGACATGGTTTGTCTGGGTGACTCCGCCTCAAGGTGTCAGTGAAGCAGGAGATGTGTTTCAACTGAGGCTCAACTGGGGACAGATTTCCTCCCAAGCTAACTTGCCTGTTGTTCCTTAGGGTGCAGTTTGGACTGAGAGCCCGATTTCCTACCTGTTGGCCTAGGAACTCCATCAGTTCATGCCTTCTACATAAGGCAGCTCAACACATGAATGCTTGTTCTCCCTGTTCCAGAGATATGACAGACAGACAGACAGACACACACATACAGAGAGAAAGTAATATCAAGAGGAAGGAAGGGACCTCAAGAATGAGAGTACGAGAGAATGACAGGACCTGGCATCCCATCAGCTGGGCTGTCCTCTATGTTGTTCAGAAGCCAGTTGCTGAGCACTCAGCGGACACACAAGGATGTTCCCACCAGGAGGCTGGACTCACTCGAAGCCACTGTGAAGGCTTCCACCAAATGGACCCACATGAGGCACATGGTCTGATTCTAAGCTTAACAAAAGACACTGGAAGGTTTTAGGCTAGTGAATGAGAATATCGGAATTTCCTGTCATTTCAAACCCTTACAGGTACAAACTTGAAAATGAGGCTAAATGGGCAGTCACTTCCCTGACTTCACATGCTGTACCCTGAAAGGACAGAACAGGACTGATAGCTGTGTCCTTATCCCCTCTTCCAAGAAAAACCCGCAGAATGTATCAGTTACTCAGCCTGCCCTTATCTCAGCCAATGGGAAAGCGGGGGAAACTAGACCAAGGCCAAGAGTATGCTAGCCACCCCCCTGTCTTTGTGTAACCAGACCCTAGCTGCACCCTGCCCTTGCGTCACTAGCCCCCGGCCCTCACTCAACCAACCGGAATTGGCCAAATCAGTGGTCAGAGTGTGCCTCCACCCCCCGACCCCAAGCCCTATAAATTCTTTGTTCCCTTGGGACTCGGGGCTCTCTCTTGCATCCAGTAATGGAGGCAGGAGGGGGACCAAGTCCCAGGCTTGAATAAAAGACTCTATGCTTTTGCATCGGACTCGGCTCCCTAGTGGTCTGTCTTGGGGGATCTTGAAATCTGGGCATAACATATCCCAGGCTTGTTTTGATTGGTGTTCCTTGATGTGTCCCACTCATTCTTTTCACTCTCCCACCTCTATGTTTGTGTACCGGATTCATGGGACACCAGCCCACCGTGTTAGGGGCCTTGTCTCATCCTCACTGGGCAGCTTGGGAGCCTGAGGAGGCCCTGAGAGGCACAGAGGCTTCCCCAGGACATAGAACAGGTAAGAAAAAGGAGGTGTGAACACAGCTTTCTCCCCCAAGCTGGGGGCCTGGTACATTACCAGGGAGATGGGGGAGGTTGTGTTAGGTATTGGTGTACAGGCATGAAGATGGCATGGACAAGGAGGGTGAGAGGTCAACAGCATAGAGGGGGTTTGAGGTGACTCTGATTGGAGGAAGGGCCCAGGTCATGGAACTTGAAGGGCTGACCTCACTTCCTTGGTGACAGAAATTAGAACCCTGGTAACCAGGTACCCACATTCTAGAGACAACTGCCTTTCCAGCTCACTTGAGTGGAGAAGGTCAGGAGACCAGGATGTCTCTCTGTTGCTTCCCGTTCTTCCGACGCTCTGGGCAGAAGAAAGCCCAGGGCAAGAGATGTTTCTGTTGCTGTAGAAATTGGTGCAAGCGCCACTGTCGACACCTCTTGCCCTCTGGCAGGAGGCACCCACAGGTAACCAAGGGCAGCCCAGGCCAGGCCCATCCAAGCCAGGCCCCAACTGGGCTCCCACCTGGGGAGCCCCACACCTCTTACCCCTCATCCCGGGGGTGTGTGTGTGTCCGGGATGGTGAGGGGAAGGAAGCGGGGAATGAGGGATGCTCATTCTGGGCTCAGGAGCAGGTTGGTAAGTGTCAGAAGCCTGGAGGGTGTTGGAGGTGTGTCATGTTCACTGCCCAGGTCATGGCTCACAGGGGAAAGCCGAGTGCTGGGGTCGGAGCTCTGCTACCCACTTGTTAAATCGCAGGGGTGCTCAAGGGGTCATCAACTTCACTCCCTGCCTGGAGGTCTTTGCAGATGCCCCTCTCTGCCTGATCTGGGGAGCAGAATGGGTGGTGGGCATCTTCCCCACTGGTAATGCCCGGGGCCCCTGATGCCTCCTGGCCCGGTAGCGGGCTCTGTCTTTGCAGAGCTCCAACAAGGACAGTGTCGAGCAGCTGGCTGACAGGTTCACTTTTGCCCTCAATGGGTACAAAGGACAAGTGCGTCAGGACAGGAAAACCGTCCAGTGCCAAACTGAGGTGAGAGCTGGCCCACACCCAGGACCCTGAGGTGACTGGGGTGGGACCAGAAGTCAGACTCAAATCTGGGGCCTCAAAGTTCTCACAGGCCCACTCCCAAAGTGATCTGTACCTTCAATCCTCCCGACCAGGTCCCTGGAAGGGTAAAAAAAACTGTGATGTGTTTGTTGGGATCATAGAGAAAACAGTTTTTGCTGTCTTTGTGTTTTGCTAATTAACTCCCTGCCCCCAGTATCCTGTGGACCAGAATAGCTCAACTGTCCTTGCAAACCTTCTCAAAGCCTATACATCATCCCACTTGATAGTGCTGTGTATTTTTTTAAAAGGGGGCAAGAGGGATTAAGGTCTTAGATACTTTTCTCTGCAACCCATTATCTCACAGAGGATGACAAACCATTGTAGTGTGGCCAGGTGAGGAGCTGTGGCCTTACCCAGTTCCTTATCATCCCAACAAGGACAAAGTTTTCCTCAGTGATTCAGGCTTTCACTGTTAGGCCTTGATGTGAATCAGTTCTTGCTAGATCAGTAGGGCTGCTGGGAACATCCCCACTGTGTCCTAATAGACTGTATGAGTGTGCTAGGTCTGCCATTACACAAGAACACAGACGTGGTGGAAGATTCCGGACACCTCCTGGCTCAGTACCCGCTCTGTCTTTGCAGACCTCTAAGGAGGATATCATCGAGGTGGTGGCCCATGGGCCCGACTACACCACCTACCAGGTCAGGGTGCAGGTGAACCAGGCCGATGACACCATCCAGTGTCTGTCTGAGGTGAGAGTTGGCCCAGGACAACTAAGGATCCTAAGGTGACCAGGGAGGGACGAGAATCCAGACTTCAATCTGCAAACTCCCCCAGGGCCCTCCCAGGGCTTTCCCACTAGCGTGTCCACAGTCCCATGACAAAGCAATCTGGTCCTCCACTTCCCCCACCAGCTACATGAGAGAATAGAAAGACACTCCTCACATGTTTGGGGGAATTTTAAAGAAAAAAAATAAGTTGTTTTATCTCACAGTAGGCCAGGAGCACATTTGGATTTTGCTATTTTGTTATTGTAACTCCCTGCACCAGGTATCCCATGGGCCAGTCAGCTCCACTGTCCTCAAAGACCTTCTCTAAGCCTCACTCATCACCACACTTGACTGGGTGGTTTGTCAAAAAGATGGGAGGAGGCAAACTATTGGATATTTTTCTCTGCAACTTGTCATCTCACAGAGCAGGGCAAACCACCGTAGGCCCGTGGGCCAGGAGCTGTGGCTACTCACCTCCATATCATCCCACAAAGGACGCAGCCTTTCAGGGCTGTTGACTGTGACATGCTGCACCTCTGCTGCTAGTTCAGCAGGGTTGCCGAAACATCCTCACTGTGTCCTAACAGACTGTCTCAGTTTGCCAGGCCTGCCATGGGGTAGAGCCGCAGATTGGGGTGGAAGGTTCCTGAAGCCTCCTGGCCCGGTACCGGGCTCTGTCTTTGTAGAGCTCCAACCGGCACATCACTGAAGGGCTGGTTAACGGGTTCAACTACTCAACCTCCCTCGATCCGGGAAAGGTGCATCAGGCCACAGACACCATCCAGGGCCAGACTCAGGTGAGAACTGGTCTTGAGGGTCTCTATATTCACAACCCCAAGATGACCTGGCAATGCCTGAACCCAGACTCAAATCTGGGGACCCCCAGAGGTTCTCCCACGGCTCTCCTTAGATTGCCCCTCAGTCCCATGACAGGACAATCCAGACCTCCACTCTTACCTCCAGTTACATGGGAGAGTAGAAAAACAAACCTCATATATTTATTAGAGAGAAAGCACATTGTTTGACTTCACAGTCGACCATGAGCACGTGGGCATTTCGCTGTTTGTGTTGCTTAAACTACACTTGCCACGTATCCTCTGGAGCACTCAGCTCCACTGTCCTTGCAGGCCTGGTCCAGTTGGGGAGGTCGTTTGCCCAGCGATGCGGCCTTTCAGTGCTGATGGACATGGGCCTAATGCAGTTCAGCTGCCATGTCAGCAGTGCTGTCTGGAACACTGATGTGTGTCGGAACGGACTGTGTTAGGTTGCTTGCTTGCGCTGCCATAACATAGGGCCACACTGGGTGTTGTTAACAGCAGACATTCATTTTCTCACAATTCCGGAGGCTAGACGTGAGAGATGGTGCTGTCAGCGGGGCTGGTATCTCCTGAGGGGGTCGCTCCTCAGCTTGTAGATGGCTGTCTTCTCTCTGTGCGTCACATGGACTCCCCTCTGCACTGCCACGTGTCCTCCCCTCCTCTTCTAAGGACACTGGTCAGATTAGATGAAGACCCACAGCACTGAATTCACGTCACCTTAATGACTTGCTTGAAGAATAAAACTCAAATGCAGACACATAATGCAGTTTGAGGGGTTGCAAAGTCATGGGATTAGGGGTACACAATTCAGACCACAGTACATGTAATGTCCCCAGCTGGAGATGAACGCCCACTGCTGGGGGAAGGACGAGCACATGTAAAATTTTAACGGCTGCAGGCAGATTCCAAATCCAAAGGGTTGTGGCAGGGACGTTGCCAACAGCAGTTTCTGATGATGGCTGCTGCCTTGCTCCCAGCCTGGCCTGGGAAATCTCACTCATTGAAATTTTCACCTGGCCGACGTCAAGGTGTCCAACTCAAACACAGTGTTCCTTCCCTGGCAATTGCCTCATGGGGACACTGAGGCACCTGTCACTTTACACCCATCACATGGATCAGCTCCTCCCCGAGTCCTCTGGTCAGATTCCTGCCCCATGATCGCCTTTCTCCCATCTGCAGTCTCCAGACATTTACCACCTTGCGGAATCTGCCATCTCCATAATGAGGGTCTTACAATGCCCTTTAATGTAAAAGGAGAAAACATAACTTTCTCTTTTGAAGTCAAAGGCTTTCATAGGCCATTTCTACCGTGTACACTGTTCCCACGCTGGGGAGGGACAAGGTCCCTACACCCTCTCCACCCATGTCAGTAGCAGGGAAGTCTCTGGTACCTGAGAGGGAATGTCATGCAGGACAGTACCCAGTTCTGACCTGCATGCCCTTGAGCAGGCATCTGATATTTCCTAAGCCTCTGTGTTCTCATCTCTATAACAAGGACCTTTCTTTGGGACTCACAGGGCCCGGGTTCTTCATATACACTATTACTACAAGGAGGTTTGTTGATCCTCAGCTAAAGGGAACGGAAGGGGGGGGCGGTGGAAGGTGCCGAGAAGGTGGCAATTGTATGAACATGTACGGAACTTCAGTGGCACTTTGAAGACCTAGAACCTCGTCCAGCCGGGGCACTCCTGTCCCTCCTCTTGCACACGTCCCAGTTGGGCTGGGACCTCCCGACTGAGCTCCAAACCTCCATCCTTGTGGGATTCACGGTCATGCCGCTGACATGGATGTCCTTCCGTCTCCCACCCAGTGTGCAGCTGAGCGAACTGGTAACCTGCATGAGTCCTGCAGGATGCACGCCCTCCAGGAAGGCACCTCGGAGAAGGTGGCCATGGCCATGGTACCAGCTTTCCTGGGGGGAATCATCCCCCACGTCTCCACGCTGGCCTGCTCCAGAGCCCAACGGTTCCTGGACGAGCTTCTAACTAGGTGAGCACACACTCGTGACTCTGCCCACTGCTAGCTGTGAGGCATGAAAACGTCACCACATCTTCCCGAGTCTCAGGATGCTCCTCTGAAAAGTGGGCTGCTGGGGGGGAAACCTCATAGCACTGCTGTGGGGACAAGCCAGGGCAGGTCTCACCTGCTCCCTGGCTCTGCAGACAGGGTAGCTGGACGTGCAGCGGTTGCTGGTGGCAATTCTTTCCCTCTGTCCCACGGAAAGAACTCTGACACACCCATCAGTGGCCTGCGGCATCGGAGGTTGGAAAAGCACATGGAAAGCAACCTGTTAAGCAGTGTGAGATTTCACCTAGCTGGTCCTGGTCCTTGGTGCAGCCACACTGGGGATTTCTGGGGAGAGCAGGGGCCCAGGCCCACTCAGAGGTATGGCATGCTTCTGGTTGGAGTTTCTTTACTCGACAATGTGCATGAAGATCCTACCACAGACAGGCACTTTTGGAGACACTTAGCCTGACTCAAGGAATGAAACAGACACAAACCCTGGGCCTCAGTTCTAGGCAGTGGGTCCAGCAGTCATGCTGTCCATCATTCTCAGGTCGTGTCCACCATCCATCAGGGCTGATGCCATCAGAGTGTTTTTTCCATCTGGAGGCACACCTGCTTACAATGACTGGGGTGACACACTGCAGGACCAAGTCATAAAGTGAGTGGTCTCTGGGTCCAGAAGGAGGGCCCCCAGAGTCAGCAGAGTGGGGACTGTGAGAGGGGGAGTGCCTGGCACAACCCTGATCTTATACATCATCTGATTCCCAAGAAAGGCCTGGGCTCTGGAGTCTTCTATTCCCGGAGGACAGGAGTCAAAGAGGACAGTGGGTGGGGTCCCGGGCCTTGTAGACCCAGAGGGGACGCTGTGCTGAGTTGTCCCTCAGGGTCCCCTCCCCCCCACAGACCCACCCCGCTCTGCCTGCCCCTCTCCATATCCATCTCCCCTGACCACCGTGGCCAGGCTCAGAACAGGATTGTGGTGAGCAGGCTGCTCACAAGTCTGTCTCAGTCCTTAGCCCAGATGCCCAGGGCCTGGAGGGTGGGGGTGGGCACTGCACTGGACCTTCAGGGGAGCTGTCAGTGGGAAAAAGAGTCTCACACAGACTCCGTATTGAACCTGCTGGGTCCCACAACTGCTACAACCAGGACAGCCACACAGGGGCCGGGGGTGGCATGGGGCTGTCCCCTGGGTGGGCAAGGGGGGCCTGCATAGAGTCTCAGTCCCAAACAAGGTGCCATGAGAGGGCAGAGTGGAAGGAAAGACCAGGACTCAGACTCTGCTGCCCACCTGCCTCTCCCCAGGGCCTTTGCTGCGATGGTGGGGACCTGGCTGGACCAGGTCCAGGGTTTGGGGCAGCCCCTTCCTTTTGCCTGGTTTGAGGTAGAGCAGGCCTTGGTGCCCGTCAACTCCCCTGCCTCACACCTGGTGGGCCACGCCCAAAACCTTTGGGTTGAGCTAGAGCATCTGAAGCCCACTGAGGCAACTCAGGAAGGTGAGGGGGACTGATCACCTGGGCAGATACTCTGGGAGGGCAGGCTCATGGGCTGGAGTTCCCTTAAAGGCGGTGGCATCTTTTCTGTCTGCACTAAGTCACAGGAATGCCAGGTGTGTGAGTCAATCTGTCTCTTTCTCCTGCTCCAGGTCCACGCCCAGAGCTCCAGAGATCTCCAGAGCCAGAGGAAGGGCCTGCTCAGGGGCCAGAGCCTGGCCTCACAGGGGCCTGGCCTGGCCTGAGGCAGTACCTGAAGCCATTATGGAGCCAGTTGCTGTCTGCACTGGAAGCCTTCTCTTTCTTTGTTCTAAGAGTTCTAGGCAATTACCTCAAATAACTAAGAGGAATACACCCCAACTATAAATTTATAATAGCAAATAATGATAATTTCCAAAAATACCTAGCTATTTATGTAGACTATAATCCATTAAATTAAATACTCTGGAACAAATAAAGTTGTTGATTTAAAATATGTGTAGATGATATCTACTCATGTATATAGATATGTTTGTGTATATACGCTGATATGGAAAAATGCTCACTATACCACACATTTTAAAAATAACTTCTGAAATTTAATTTTTTCTGGTAATTAAACAAGTATAAACTGATAAAATGATGAAATACAGTTTGGAAGTGTATAAAATGTTAACACTAGTGAACTCTAGGAAGTGGGACTGCTAGAATTGACAGTTTCTACTCTTTCTGCTTAGTACTTTTGGTTTTTACCAGAGGCCCAGTGCACGAATTTGAGCATCTTTTGTTTTTAATTAAATCTTTATTGTTCAGATTCTTACAGTTGTTCCTTCTTTCTCCCCTCATAGCTCCCCTCCACCCAGTTCCCACCCCACCCTCCACCCTCACCCCCCACCCCCGCCACTGTCCTCATCCATAGGTGCATGATTTTTGTCCAGTCTCTTCCCACATACCCGACACCCCTTTCCCCTGCAAGAATAGTCAGTCCACTCCCTTTCTATGCCCCTGATTCTATTATAATCACCAGTTTATTCTGTTCATCAGATTATTTATTCACTTGATTTTTGGATTCACTTGTTGATAGATGTGTATTTGTTGTTCATAATTTGTATCTTTACCTTTTTCTTCTTCTTCTTCCTCTTTTTAAAGGATACCTTTCAGCATTTCATATAATACTGGTTTGGTGGTGATGAACTCCTTTAGCTTTTTCTTATCTGTGAAGCTCTTTATCTGACCTTCAATTCTGAATGATAGCTTTGCTGGATAAAGTAATCTTGGTTGTAGGTTCTTGGCATTCATCACTTTGAATATTTCTTGCCACTCCCTTCTGGCCTGCAAAGTTTCTGTTGAGAAATCAGCTGACAGTCGTATGGGTATTACCTACCTTGTAGGTAACTGACTGTCTTTCTCTTGATGCTTTTAAGATTCTCTCTTTGTCTTTTGCTCTTGGCATTTTAATTATGATGTGTCTTGGTGTGGTCCTCTTTGGATTCCTCTTGTTTGGGGTTCTCTGTGCTTCCTGGACTTGTAAGTCTATTTCTTTCACCAGGTAGGGAAAGTTTTCTGTCATTATTTCTTCAAATAGGTTTTCAATATCTTGCTCTCTCTCTTCTTCTGGCACCCCTATAATTCGGATGTTGGTACACTTGAAGCTGTCCCAGAGGCTCCTTAAACTATCTTCATATTTTTGGATTCTTTTTTCATTTTGCTTTTCCGGTTGGGTGTTCTTTGCTTTTTCATATTTCAAATCTTTGACTTGATTCTTGTGATCCTCTAGTCTGCTGTTGGAACTCTGCATAATGCCCTTTATTTCAGTCAGTGTATGCTTAATTTCTAGTTGGTCCTTTTTCATAACCTCAAGGGTCTCGCTAGATTTCTTGAGGGTCTCACTACATTTATCGGCGGTCTCACCAGACTTTTTGAGGGTCTTACTAAATTTATTGGCGGTTTCTAGAAAGTTCTTGAAAAATCTTAAAAGTGTGGTTTTGAACTCTATATCCAGTAGTTTGCTTTCCTCCATTTCTGTCATTTGTGTCCTGTTTCTTTGTCTCTGCATTTTTTATGCTTCCCTGTGTTGACAGAGTGGCTTTCTGTGCTAGGTGTCCTATAGGGCCCAGTGGCTCAGCCTCCCCAATTACCTGAGGTGGACCCTCTTGGTGCAACCCCTTGTGGGCTTTGTGCACAGTCTTATTGTAGTTAAGCCTTGATTGTTGTAGGTATCACTGGGAGGAATTGACCTCCAGGCCAATTGGCTGTGAGAATCAGCTGTGTCTGCAGTGGGAGAACTTCTGTGCTGGAAACACCCCTCCGGGGCAAGACTTGCTTCAGTGGGGCTTTGGTGCTCACTGATCTGCCCCGAGTGTGTCCTTTATGGATCCGAGGAGCTGCAATCTGGATGGTCCCACTCTGTCCACTAGGTACACTGGCTCCTGGATCTCTAAGAAGGTGCTAATCTAGCCTCTGCCTGAGGCTACCTGCAGGAGCTCAGCTGTGAAGCAATGCAAGTTGTCATGGGGCCTTGGGCCAGCTGCAAGTTTGTTAGGTAATTTTCAGATTGCTAAGGGCCAGGCCTTTCATATGCAAAAGCCGGTGCACAGCTTGGGCAGGGCGGGTGTCCCAGGGGATCAACAGGGCGGAGCAAGCAGCTATGGCTGCCCTCAGAGGCCCTGTTTCTCAGTGTCCTGGCAATCACTGCAAGCACCTCTGAGAGAAAGCTGCCCTCGAGTTCTGACAGATGCCAGACAGTCCAGTTTCTCCCCTATGAGTCTGGGTCCCCAGAGACTCGCCCGGAACTGGAGCTCAGAGCTTGAGACTCCCTACCGATTGAGAAAGACAACCGTGTCCTCAGCTGCCAGCCCTCTCTGTGTGCACCTCCGTACCTCTGTACTTTACTTCTGCACCGCAGCTCCTCTGAGTCTCGGTATGCTTTTCTCTTTCCTTCCAGTTGTAGAATTTCCACTCAGCCAGCCTTCCCATGGTTCTGGATGATGTCCATTCCGTCTTTTAGTTGTATTCTTGAAGTGGTTGTGCTAAGCAGCAATCTCCGGTGTTTACCTATGCCCGAATTTGAGCATCTTGAAAGGAACTGTGGACTGCAAGGCTGCGGTGGGCACAGGGTCGAGTCTTGGCCCATCCTCCATGCCCCCACCCGGCCCCATTCACTGCGGCCCCCAGTCCTGTATGCCGGCAGTCCTGCTCCTACCCACTGACGGCATGGAATGGTTGGGGCCGGTGCCAGCAGCGGGTTCAAGCAGCGGCTGCTGCCCCAATTGCCCCTCAGGAGCAGGGGGAGGTGTAGAAGCCCTCAGGGGCTATCTGGGCCAGCAGCTGCTGCTCGCACCCACTGACAGTGCTGAGCGATTGAGACCAGCGCCAGGTGCTGGCAGTGGGTGCAAGCGAGGCCGGCGCAGGCAGCAGATGCGAGTGCTAGGCGGGACTGTGGCGCACGGGAGCAAAGAATTTTCAGTAACCACTAGAGGCTCGCCCCAATCACAGCAACGCGCCCCACCTTGGTCTGGTGCCCCTGCTCACCTGCTCCACCATCCTGCTGTGGCCGATGCCTGCCATTTTCCACACATACCCCCTGGTGGTCAGCGCACATCATAGCGACCAGTTTTTCCGCTGTTCAGTCTATTTGCATATTAGCCTTTTATTATATAGGAAATTACCTTCTGTCTTAGGCTCAACCATTTCTTTGAGAAGCTTTTGTTCCTTTTATTGGAGAATGACATTAGAACCAAGACCAAGGTACAAGTGTTATCCTAGTTTCTGAGCATTATGTTCTTTTCCCCCAGATTTATGGAGGTAAAACTATTATACAAAAATGCACATAATTAATGTATACAATTTAGGAGTTTGTGGTGATATCAACATACACTTACGTTGCTATCATCACAACCAAGGTATTAAATATTTCCATCACCTCTTGAGTTCCTTGTGTCCCATTATTTATGGGTTTTTCTTTTTGTGCTAACAACACTTAACATGAGATCTCCCCTCTTAACATATTTTTAAGTGCACAACACATTATTTCTTAACTACAGGCATGATGTGTGCCATAGATTCTTGGGGCTTTTTCTTTATCTATTGATATGACTGAGGAATTTTTGGCCTTTATTCTATTTATGTGGTGTAGTACATTGATTGTTTTGCATATGTTGACCCTTCCTTGCACCCCAGAATAAATTCCCACTTGTCATGGTGTATGAACCTGTTAATATTCTGTTGAAATCAGTTTGGTAACATTTTGTTGAGGATTTTCACATCTGTAATTATCAAGGTCATTAACATACAGTTTTCTTTCATTGTAGTGTCTTTATCTGGACAGATTTAAAATGGTTATTTTTCTCTTCATCACAAGAATCTGGTGGGGCTCCAGGGATAAAACCCATGAAAGAGTAGCAACCTCCCTAAGACTGCAGCCTCCTGCAGTTTCTCACTCTTAACCCCAATCCACACTCAGCATTCCGCAATGTGTCACAATTACCATTTAACGTTCCTAAGTGCTCAAGGCTCCAGCAGCTCCGGCTCTGGCAGAAATGAGAAGGCCCTGCTCTCTGGAGCAGGTATCAGGGTGACGAGTGCAGGAAAAGTTGTTGGTTTTCAAATTGTTCACACTTTTTTCTTCACGAAGAATAACAACTTCTAATGCTCTACATTTCAGCTGTTACCACAGTCAAAGTAGTTAATATTTTATAAAAGTTATGGTCCAATTTAGATTGCAAATTAAAGGAAATAACCAATCCTCGGGCCAGTAATGTCAGAAGTGCTGTTATAGTAGCACCAGGGGCTAACAGTCATCCACGATGCTGCTGGTGCCACACCATCAGGAGGCGGGTGCAGCAGAGGGTGTGGCGACCAGTGTTTTGTCTGCACACGACGTGAATCCTATGTGAACAGGGCCTACATCCTCATCGCAAATGTGCTGATGGGCATGTCCCTGTGGTCATTGCCCCAGGGGCCTGAATGAAACGCAATAAAGGCAGCACCTAGATTTTCTCCCTCACCCACTGACTCCTCAGTCTTGCTATGAGACTGGAGCACAATGTACACAAATATTGAGTAAAATTTTTATTATTACACTCTGAGACTTCAGGCCATTGGACACAAAGAAAGCCTAAAATGAGGATGAGAGAAACATCGATCAGCCGCCTACCACATGCACCCTGACGAGGAATCAAAGCCGCAACCTTTTGGTGTACAGGATGACACTCCATCCACTGGGTTCTCACCCTGACATTTCCCACCAGCCACCGTCTCCTGCTGCTACCCATCCCCTTACCTGGGAAGGCAATGAGCTGTGAGCACTGCGCCTTGGGGGCACCCCAGCCCCACACCCACCTTAGTACCCCTCCCTGTCGGGACCCTCCAGCCTGCCCCTTGGCAGGTCCAGGGTCAGCCGCAAAGGCCCAGGGCTGAGGACACAGGGCTCCTGGAGCAGCATGGGCACAGGTTGAGACAGCTGCCCAGGTGACACCTGCCAGGTGAGGGAGGACCCAGCACAGGCGGTGTTCGTTTCCAGGAAGGACCAGCAGTGTTGAGTGTTGGCTCTAGGCTGCATCCTCAAAGCTCCCTCTGGGCGGCAGTGAGGGGGAAAGGGTCTGGGTGACAGGAGAATGGGCACCTCCTCCTGAGGTGGGGGTGGGGGGGCGCGGGGAGGAGGAAGTGGGCTTTGGAGAGGGAAGGAAGTGAATGATTCTGGTGGAGGTGACTGCAGTGGGGCGCTGTGTGGAGTCAGGAGCTACAGCGCACAGGGGTGGTGGTGAGGAATGGATATTTGGGACATCCTGTGAAATGTCCAGATGTTCTGGTGGCCAACCCTACTTGTTGGGCAAAATCTGTTAGGAAAATGACTGAAATGCCAAAGAAAAGTGACCTAAATCTAAAAGCCAGAGGATTGGGGACATATGGGGATGCAGCTTTCTGACCTTTATTTCTGACAAGAAAGGTGTTTTTTAAAAATTAGTTGTAACTTTAAGGCCTTAGACTCAAATGTATTTTTCACACTGTTACACTGCAAATAGGAAAGAGGTAATCAATTGGCTGATCAGGTGTGAAATGATTTTCACAAGACTTTACAGGAAAAGCTCATGTGACATCCCCTGCTTGTCAGCTGATGACAGGCCACCACACTGACGCCCCTTGGTCAGCGCTAGGGCCTGTCACACTTGGGCCTCTCCTTCTGTGGCCCTGCCACCAGCAGCCACTAGAGCAGTCTTGCAGGCCCCACGCTGGGGCCGCGGGGACCGTGTGGGGCCACAGAGGGCCCCCTCAAAGTGCAGCACGTGTCGCGTTTGGACAGTTTTTATTTATTACTTTCACATTCACAGACTCAGGCGACCCCTTTGAGAAAGGGAAGGGGGAAGCTGCCTTGAAGAAAAGCTGGGCTCATGGCACGTGGGACTTCTCACAGGAAAACAGTCCTCAGTGTCAGCAGGCACCTGACATGGTGGCCGCAGCTCGCTCCTCGGTGCCTGGGAGATGCATTCCTGGAGGCTGCCTCAGCCCAGGATTTTATTGCTGGTGAACCTCACTGTCCAACTTACAGCCCGGGATGACGGCACTAACAAAACAGGTCCAGGGGAGCAATTGGCTGAGATGAAACTGGACCATGTAAACTGCACGGACTGCCACGCTGCCCTGCTGGCCTTCAGCCCCAGGGAGGGCCTGGGAAGATGGAAAGGGAAGCCCCGCTGCCCATCCAGGTGGAACAAAGACAAGAGAGGGACAACCAGCAGGATGGGTATGCCCACATCCACAGCAGCCTGAGCTCCAGAGCCCACCAGCTCTTCCTTTTCCCAAAGACGTTCGCTTCTCAGGTGGGAAGAACACTCCACTCCCCTTTTTCTGAATATGTAGCTCTTAGGCTCAATGAGAAAACCACCTGGCAGACAGAGGATCGGAAATATGGACTAGGGGTGCTTAGGCGTGTATTCTGAAAGGACGGACTGCCAAAAAGTGTCCTAGGGTCATCCTGAATCCCACAGGAAGGAGACAGTCGTGGAAAGAATGGTTTACCTCTGTGATTACAGCAGTGCCAAGTTGAGAGCCAGCGCTGTCATTTTATTACACAGACTTGGTCTTGCATTAGCTCCTGCCAGTTCTGCACACCATCAGCTCCTCGGGTCTCCTGAAAGCGCGAGGTGCCCTTCCTGCTGTCCCCCGGTGACAGGCAGGCCCTTCCCCTCCTTGACAGCCGAGGGAAATGACGCCTGTGCCGTGTAACTGCTCCTCCTGGTCTGTCAGACTGCAAATGTTTAGTCCTTTTACCCTTCTGGGGACCAAAGGCCTCATGGCATTGGTAGGCGTGGGGGCGAAGGCCCTCAATGCACCTGATGTTCACACTAAGCCAGAACCGTTGGGTGCAGCTTCACCGGCCGAGGTGCACATGGCCCGTGGGTGCCCGCAGGAGTCTTGAGGGGTGAGATGGAGGAAGTGTCCGTTCTGTGCTCAGATCTCCACTTGCTTAGCCTCTGGTCTAACAGAGGTATCTGAGTTCACAGATCTACACATTAGTTTAGCAAAAAATCTGGCTTCTGATACCCAAAGAGCTTAAAGTCCCCTTCAAAACGGGCATACAAGCGCCGGATGTCCCGCTTGCTGATGCCCAGGAAGTAGTGCTCCACCTTGGTTTTGTTGTACACGGTGATGCCCGGAGGGATGGTGGGGTATGACACCAGGTGGTCTATGCCCGCCTCTTTTAAGATGTATGGGGCGTCGTCCTCCAGGGTCTCGTGGTGACCAATCACACTGTATGATATCTCACAGGGCGCGCACAGCTCGACGTACGTCACCCAGTGAATGATGTGGTCCCCAAACTGGAGGTCCAGCCATCTGTGGTTTGGATCGCCCAGGTAGCGCACAAAATCTTCAAACTGGATGCCCCGGGTCTCCGTCCGGTTCCGCCTGTACTTCCTGATGATGCCGGGGGCAATCTCGTGCCTGTACCAGGGTTCAAAGCGGGGATTGTGGACGAACTTGTCCTTAAAAGCAGATATCAGTCTTTCAAAGGGATCTCTTACAATAAAAAACTTGAAGTAGGTTTTCAAGCTAAGGGAAAAATGTAGATAAACAAGAGGTGAAGCCGATGCTGCTGGTGGTGACGGCTGTGAGAGTGGGAAGAGTGGAGAAACAGCTGGAGCAGCTGCAGCCGCCATGTCCTGAACCCTCCCCCAGGTGAGCTCTGAGATGAGCACATCACACACATCTCGCTTAATCCACTCAACACCACTGAGGGCAAACCTGCTCGTGAGCACCCATTTTATAGGTGAGGAAATGGAAGCTCAGAGACTGTAACTGTCCAGGGCCTCAGCACTCACCCTCGGGGGCCACTGTGAAAACATCTACTTAACCTATGTTTTGTTTTACTTGAGAGTTTCAAAATTTTAAAAGGACATTTAAAAGTTTTGTTCCTGGGCAGAAAATCCTAAGGACAGAAACTTTGAATGAGTTAGGAACAACGGAGGCCAGGAAAGTTACTTTATATCTTAAAAGGCTCAATTCAAAATTGCCAGGGCAGGAACAATAAGAGCCGTGGTGGCAGAAGATGGAGTGAGGCTCAGGCCCCAGCGGGAGGAGAGCTGGCCCGGGAGGCCTGCGGGAGTGGCAGTGGTGGCCCCAGGGCCCCAGGGAGACCATGACGACAGTGAGGCCACTGCTGCCACTGCAGCGGCTTACTCCGTGCCAGAAACTGCTCAGTGCTTTGCAGGCCCTAACCACTTCCTGACAAAAGCCCAGGATGGTAACAGGGCAGCCCTGACCCAGCTCGGCTCTGGCACGGAACAGCTGTGTTCTGAAGGGTTTGGACACGTTGGAAAGCCTCCGGAACCAGGGCTGGAAGGAAGAGAAGGTGCTGACGAGCGAGGCAGGGCCAGGTTCAGGTGGGTCCTGACATTCTTATTCCTGTTGAACTTGGCCCTGGCGGGGCCATTTCATAGCTAGTAAAGAGAACTTTTCAATTTATAGCTAAGTTTTAGTGCCAGTGCCCTCCCTGCTGTGATTGGTGGGTCTGTCTGCTGGCTGTGTTAGGTCCAGTCCACACCACCACTCCCAGGGCAGTGGCGGGGAAGCAGGCTCGGGGCCTTTGGGGAAAATGAAAACTAGGTGGGGTTTCCCTGCAACCTAAATCCCTTTCTTATGAAGAAACAATCATATCCAGTAAGGAGTCCATAAAACTAAACACAACCAACGCAGAGCAAAAATGACCCCTCACTTCTATTGGGAAAATGACCTTCCTTCATTCCCATGGGCTGCATGAAGGTGAGGGTGGAGAGCCATTCTGAAATTCCCATCAAGATTTCTGAGTTTAAATGCACTGAACTCTGGGCATGTGCAAAGCTGCCTCTGCCCCACGCAAACCAACAGCCCACTGGAGTCCTTGGCGCAGTGTGGGACACAGGGCAAGTACAGAGCCCAGCCTGGGACGTATCGAAAAGCCCCTCCCTGCAGGAACCTGTTCCTACCGCTTCTGAATTTCTGCATCGCTGAAGGCAGAGAGACGAGGGAGGCCGTTCTTTTCATGGTCATGAACCACATTCTCGGGGATGTCTTCGATGGAAGGAAAGGCACCTAGGAAGTAAACAAGGGAGAAGCTGTGTGGCCCCCTCAGTGCTACCTTTAAAGAAGATGCCCGTCTCTTAGGCCCATGTTCCCCACAAGTCATCCCCAATATCCATGGTGATATCGAATTCCAACTACGACGAGTGAGACGTGGCAAAATGAGAGTGCAGACAAGCTCTGGTCACCTGTAAGCCAACAGGAGGAAACAAGAGGAGTTAAGAGGAGGAGGGCGAGGGAGCGAGTAAGGGGTGGAAGGAAGGATGATACCTACCCCTGGTAGCGCACTGGAATGGGCTAAATCTGACAACAGGCACATCGCTGCATGCAAACAGAATGCCTAAGGCCTCCCACACTCACTCTCCTGTGAAACTGGGCTCATGAGAACCACCTGCTCACACCCACAGCACTCACAGGCCCGTCACTCCCGACAGGCAAGGTGTTCCCAGGACCACATCCCTGGGCCTCAGGTGGGTTCCTAGGCAACCTCAGGGCATCCCAGAGATGTGGCAAGTGGCAGAGATGTTTGGTGCTGGAACAATCCAGCTAATGTCGTGGGGTAGATATATTTGAAGCAAGGGTCAAGGATGAGACGGAGTGACTGAGGAGAAAATGGCAGGGTTAAGAGCACAGTGCTCGGAGGCAGGCTGACGCATGTAACCTGGGGAGGGGCATCCTTGGGTTGGCGGGTTGGGCAGGCTTTTCATTCTTTTCCCAACTTAGACAAATGGAAATAAAGTGTCATTACCCGAGCTTTTAGCCAAGCCTCTGCAAACCTTTACATCCATCTTTGTGTTACTCCTGCCTTGTTACGCGTGGAGTCTGGTGGGAGAACATCTGTTGGGCCATCTAAGCAGTGGCCATAGTCTATTTCATTTATTCTTCCCCCAAATGTGTAAGTGCCAGTCTAGACCTCTACGCTACCTGCTGTGGATGGCTCTAAATGGGCAAGACTGTCAAATGAACCAACCTGTGGATTTGCACATGGGCCCACTCAGGTATCTGTCCCCATCCAGGTGCATGTAGGGCTGGCAGAAGGCAGCCACAAGGACCACCTGCTTTTCTATTGCAGGCATACCTTGTTTTATTGTGTTTTGCTTTATCACGCTTCGCAGATGCTGTGTTTTTTTACAAACTGAATTTTTACAATTGAAGGCAAGAACCTCCACCAGCAAGAGGATTATGGCTGGCTCCGCTGCCATGTCTCCTTCACAGCAGTGGTCTGGGCGGGTCGCAGTGCCTCTTGGGTGCGCCTACATGCGCCCTGGCAACCTGTTCCTGTTTTGGACCTGCCCTTGACTGATGCTTCATACAGTGGTGGCAGATTTGTAAGAATCGTGTATTCATTGTTTCCAATTTGATTTGTAACCTCATTCTACAACATCAAAAATCCAACATGCAGTCAGATTACTCAAGCATATACATTATATACCAGAAAACGAGGCGAGTGTCTCTCTTCTCCCCCAGCCAACCTGCGAAAAGGCCAATGACAACAAACTCTGACCCCTGACTGAGGGCAGAGCAGCAGTCGGACAGGGGACAGAGGCCAGGGCCACCGCCCACAGGTCTCCCAGGTCGCATTCTTCATCCAGGGTCACCCGGCTCTGAGCTAGAGCCGTGCTTCTTTTACAGCTGAATTTAAGGCACAGAACCCATTAAGTATCTTGTCAGTTCAGAGTACGTAGAGTTTAAACTAATAAACATGGTGTCTGGAAGAGCAGTGAATAATAAAAAACTAGGGTATGAGGTCACTTGCCAGTGATTTCATTTGTTCCCAAGAAAACATCAGATTTCCTGAGGCAAGTCAGCTAAATCCTCTGAATATGATGCTTGGTGTAAGATGAGGACATTTCTTTCTACCCCCGTGGCACTGAACCCTTTGTCTGTGGGTAGAGGCTCCCCTCCCAGGGCCTGGGGTAGGCACCCTTCTCACTACAGGAAGGGCAGTGTTGGGGGCGGCTTCCTGGCACTCAGTGAGCGTGGGGCCTTGGATTACAAGGACAGAGCCAGTGTCTAGTAAGAATCGATCCTGTGAATCTGGAGGGAAGGAATGGGACCCACCAGGTGAGCAGGCTGCCTGAGATGGGGGCTCTGCTGTGGAAAGTGAGGAGCTCGTGGCCTTAGGGGTGGCCCTTTGAGAACAACCAGTATCCACATTAACCCCACTAACTTTTAAAGTGCAACACTCACAGGAAAAACACAACGGAGAACTGTCTGGCAGGTTACCAGCTCCTCTTAGGAGATGTCCCTTCCTGTGGCTCCTCCCTGCCCCCTTGTCTGCCTCCCCCGACCCCCAGGTCACAGTGGCCTTCCCCGGGCAAACCCCAAAGTCACCGAGGGAGGACACACCACGGGCCCGGCACGCACCGTTTAACACGATCAGCACTTTCTTCCACTGCGTGTTGCCCACTTTGGGAGTCTGGCAGAAGAGGATCTTGTGCTTGTCACAGACGAATATTCGGTCCAGGACAAACTTGGACACGGCCGTATGTGAGAGGTTCTTCAGGGCCGCATCCCTGCAGACATTTTGGATGAGCTCCAGGCGCTCCATATAGACCAAGGGCTGAGCAAGCTGGCCGTCTGCGAGCATCTTCCCAGTTGGCTGCAGGGACAGGGAGGCAAAAGGGCCCGAGGGCCTCCTGAGCAGAAGACAGACTGCCGCCGGGGAGCCCTGCGCTCTGGCCTCCAGCTGGGCACACAGAGAAGCTGCATCCGACATAAGCAGGGCCCTGTGGACCGGATTCACCTCCAGGGGCCTGGGACTCAGGTCCATGTTCAGAGAGAAGCGAACCCTCTTGTTCCTCGTCCTCAGCTTGGACAAAATGAGGGGTGGTGGGTGAGGTGTCTACCAGTCACTTTGCTGATGAAATTATGACCCTTAATTTTCTTGAAACTGCAGGACACTTTTCATTCAGGGCTTCAGGGAAGGCCAGTTCCCTCTCCCCGCTATTCTCTATAGCCTTTCCCTCCCTGTGATTCTACGTGTGCCTGTATGGCCTGTATAGAAGGAACAGCTGTCTACATGGTGACTATTTGGGAGATAGTCTGGTTTATTAATTTAAAAAACACCTTAGGTCATTTAGTATGTTTTGAAAATGCAGCAGCCATGACTCCATTTCCTCAGTGATAAGTGTAGCAGGAGAGTAGGAAGCTGGGAAAATCCCCGGGTAAGTGGAATGGGGAAACCGGGACAAGAAAATGAAACAAGGCCAAACAGTTTGGGCACCTTGCAGCCAGCTTGTGAGTCGAAAGACCTTACCTTCCCCAACAAAAGACACTTGAGAGCACGTGGTTTATACCCTCCTCCCTAACCAGAGAACAGACATCTGAAACCCCCCTGGCCTGGGAAAACAGAGAACAAAGACCCAATCAAGGCCATCTGTGCCAGCTAGACCCAAGGAACAAATAACAAAAACCCCATTCATGCCCAACCGACCCAAGATAACAGTAAAACAGCCCAAAGAATAACCCCAAGCCCCCCTATGCACTCATTTTGATGCATCAGCACATTAAAAATGCACCTGGGAAGCTGATGAAGATTCTGGCCTGCAGGAAAAAAAGGATAAAAAGTCCTCAGGAAAGACAATGTGGGCTGGCTCTAGAGCTCGCCCCTGCCCCTTCCCAGGCATGAACTTTTTCTTTCTAAGGATCCCCATGAGATGTAACCAGCGGAGCAGTGGGCAGCGACCACGGCACTCGGGCTCACCCTGATCCTGTCTCCAAAGCCCCTTACTCTCTGACTTCCCCGTGAGCTACAGCAGCCTGCCCAGGCTACCTCGCTCCTTTAACATTTCTAAAGAGCCAAAGCAGAGCCCTACCTTGTTTCTTTACCCAATTCCTTCCTCTGTTTCACTGTCCCCAGCTTTAATAAACGTTCATTCAAACCCATCTGGACTCAAGTTGCAAAACCTTTCCTACACGAAGTCAAGAACCCACACACTAGAAGCCGGCCTGAGGCAGACCTGCTCTGGTAACAATGAGCACACAATGGTGTTTCCTGTGATGCAGGTGAAGGAGGGTGTTGCTTGGTGGTCCCACAGGCATTCAGCACTATGAGCACAGGCGGCAGGGAGCACGCCAGCACGCGCTTGTTCTCAAAGGAGTTATCAACCAGATGAGAAAATCCATGCCTGTGGGACGAAGGCTCTGATGCCAGAAACCCCTACCCACCAGGAAAGTGGGCCCGAGACCAAGCAGGGGCGGGTGTGCTGACAGACTCCAGGGGCCCGAGGCCACAGGGACAGCAGGAGCACAGCCTCCTGTTGGGTTTCTGAGCTTGGGGTCCAGCCACACTAGGGAAGGGCAGCACTTCTTTGCTCTGTGATGTCACCACTTTTGAGTGTTGGTTCTGACCATCTCTGTTATCTGGAAAAGGTCTTTCAATAGCTTTTCCCCTCAAAAACATAGTACATAGGAGGCATAGCTCCTAGCCGTGCGTGCCTGAGACAGGCCCGCTGCTGCCCCCACACAGAGCAGACCCTGAATGAAAACAGCGTCACGGCTCTAGCTGGTCTGGCTCAGTGGATAGAGGGTCAACCTGCGAGTGAAGGGTCCCAGGTTCAATTTCCAGTCAGGGGCACATGCCTGGGTTGTGGGCTCGATCCCCAGTGTGGAGCGTACAGGAGGCAGCCGATCAATGAATCAATGATTTGCTCTCATCACTGATGCTTCTCTCTCTCTCTCCCTCTCTGAAACAAAAAAACAAAACAACCCCACAAAAACAGAGTCACGGCTCTGCCACCCAATTCCTGAGCTGAGGCCTCACTGCAGGGATCCCACCCCCACCCCCATCTGACTGTCATTTCTTTGTATGCACCCCATTTAAAAAACATTTTATTATTATTATTGATTTCTGAGAGAGAGAGAGAGAGAGAGAGAGAGAGAGAGAGAGAGAGAAACATCGATTTGTTGTTCCACTTATTGATGCATTCATTGGTTGCTTCTTGTGTGTGCCCTGATGGGAGATTGAACCCACAACCTTGGCATACCGGGACCATGCTCTAACCAACTGGGCTACCAGGCCAGGGAAGAAGTCAACTATTATTTATTTATTTATTGTTTAATCCTCACCTGAGGATATGTTTCTATTGATTTTGAGAGAGAGAGAGAGAGAGAGAGATTGTTGCCTCCTGTACATGCTCCAACTAGGGATGGAACCCACAACCTAGGTACATGCCCTTGACCTGAAATCAAATCCATGACCTTTCAGTGCTCAGGGGATACTCTAACCACTGACCCACCTGGCCATGGCTAACCACCCATTTTAATCTCTGGGTGGCTTACAGCATTTTCTCCTCTTGATTCTAGCACTTTCAACACTTGGCCAGGAAGTGTCAGAGTGGGCCTCTTCACCGATTTGCCTGGAATACAGTGAGCCTTTCTGCCTATATCTTCAGCTCAGGAATCTGAGACAGGGAAAGGTCATGTTAAGTTAGGAGGTGCTCCAGCATTCACCCACAGCGGCTAAACTTCCAAACCCTGCCCTTCTCCTCAATCCACGTTACAGAGAAACATGGCTGTGTGCTTATCCTGGGGAAATGGAGTCACAGGCCATACATATATGCATAACACCTAAATGGGTTTTAAAAAGGAAATATACAAAAGTTGAGCTTTTTCCTTTCAATTTTGGGTATTTCTTTAAAATACACAAGTATGCATTACTTTTTAGTAAAAAACTTGATTTAAAAATATTGGCTACGGCATCGAGGCCACCGGCATGCCATCCAGACTGAGGAAGCTCCGGAAACATCAGGGCCGCGTGAGCCATCACAGGAGGCACCGGAAGGCCAAGGTCCTGCTGGTGGCTCACATCATCACAGGATCAACTTGGACAAATGCCACTCATTTGGGGAAGTTGGTGCGAGGCATGACCCCTTCACAGGAAACCTGAGCTTCTGCCCAACTGTCAACCTCGGTAACTGTGGGCCTTGGTCAGGGAGCAGACCCAGGTAAGTGATGCCAAACACAAGACGAGTTGCTCCCATCACTGACGTGGTGCGATCGGGCTACAACCGAGTTCTGGGGAAGGGAAAGCCCCCAAAGCAGGCACCACTGTGAAGGCCAAGTTCTTCAGCAAAGAGCTGAGAAGATAAAGGGTGTTGGCAGGGCCTGGGTCTTGGAGCTCGAAGCCACATGGAGGGAAATTTATTAAATGCTCACAAATGCAACAACAGCAGCAAATATTGGCGAGGGGGTGTGGGCACCTATAGAGACTTCTGAGAAGTTCTAGAAAGCTCTCCCAAGTCCTCTGTAGATTAATTCTATCCGAAGGCAGCTGGGCAAAGACAGCACAGCATTCTTCCCTCTTCCTTCAGCTCCACCTTCCACAGCCTCCACCGAGCACCCTGGGCTTCCTCGCAGGGCTGGCCTGTCCCTTCCTCCCCATCCACGGCCCCTCTCCTCTTCCCTCCCTCCCTTCCTCCCCACCCACGGCCCCTTCTCCTCTTCCCTCCCTCCCTTCCTCCCTCCCTTTTCCTAAAGTGACAACCACTCTTCCCAGCCACTTCCTGATGCCCTCGTCAAGGCCTTCCACCGCCCAGTGACTCACGGGGATGAGTCATACATGGCAAGGGGAGCGGATGCATGACGGGTTCATCTGATTTTCCTTACAAGAAGCTGATGAAAAAAGCCAAAACAGAGAAAAAAGTTCAAGTTCCAAAGTACGGCACATACCCCTTGGCACGGCTTCAGTATTTAGAATATCTGTAACACAAGAACACACACGGCACTGCATGTGTGTGCGTATGTGCATGTTGGGGGCAGAAGGTGGGGGAAGGCACTGCTGACCAGGGAGCCTTTTTCTCCAGGCCCACTCCTTTGGCCACTTCTAGGTGTGGCCCTGTTCTGCAGCTCGTCTACTTATTCTGCTGCTACATCTACTTATTCCCTTAAAGTTACAAAGAACTTCCTCCCAAGATTTCAAAGCAGATGGCTCCTCTAAATTAACTATTAAGTGGACCAAAATGCCCTTATTGTATCTGTTAAAATGCCGTAGGCTCCCCAAGCAATCCATTTATGGGGTAGTTGTAACACACTGTCCTTCCCAAACAACTGGGTCAGTAACAGAATGGGAGGACAGAGCCCTGGAGAACAAGGACACTGGAAATTTCGGGACAATACAGGTTTCACCCCACCACCTGGCTCCCTGCTCTTCCTTCAGGAATCTACTACAACCAACTCCCAGGCTCACATCACCTCTTTCAAGAAACTCTTGCTCTCTCCTGTGTTTGATAAAGTTTCTTGCGTTTCCCTGGAGGAGGGAAGAATGTCTTGGGGATTCCTACCTCTGCTTCCCAGGGTGAAGACCCTGAGGAAGGGAGAGAGCACCGGCAGAGTGCCCCCTCTGTCCTCTGCAAAGCGACCTCTGCTCCTCCCCAGAGAACAGTCTTACCCTCCCTTTGGGTCCTTATTCATCCCAGTCACTAAACATCAATTTCCTTAACTCTTTCTATGAAAGCCACCCTCCTACTTCTTATAGGTTTGCTTCTTGTCCACCCACCCCCTCCTTGCCCTGGTCTACCCCAAACTGAAAGCAACATCGCAGGCCCACCTGACAAGAGGTCTGCAGACCAGATCCTTACTGCATCCACTCTTGTGAACAGTTAACTCCAACAGAAAGTCACTCTGAGCAGGTGCTGGCTTTTTAGACTCTGGGTTCTAATTCCTCATCCTTACACTTACTGTAAGTCACAGGCAGAAACAGTCCCTTCTCTGTTTAATTCTGAGCTGATACACATCTTTAGAGCTTGCACTACCCGTTACATTCCTTCCAGCGTAATTGCAACCTAAACCTTTCAGACCCAGAATGGGGGTCAGCAAGTGAGAGGGCGTCCCTCACTGAGGCATGGCTAGGAATTTATGTGTGAAAGGAGCCTGAGAAGACAGACTTAGGTCAGAATGTCCATGTGATTCTGGATCATCACGTTTCTCCTAACCGCAGCTCCCACCCACACCACTCCCGCGCTGATGACCCGCTCCTCTGTCCAAGGCCCTGTTAACTCTAAACTTCCCTGATTCTGGGTCAGAGACCTTTTCCCACAGCCCTGGTTTTCTCCTGACCTTGCCCAACATCCTCCACCCCCCGGCAAGGTTCGCTGTCAGCTGGTCAGGAATGCAGCACAACGGGCATTTACAGAGCACCCACGATGGACAAAGCCCTGTGAGGAACATAAATAAGTGTGACTGTGCCTCCCCAAAGAGAAGCTCAAAGATGAGTAGAAAGGTGCAGAAGGGACAGAAGCAGTGACTACACAGCAGAACATGATGGTAAGTGGGAACAGCTGATGAGCTCAGGGAACGGGCAGGCCAGTGCCCACGCAGTGATGGGGCAACCTGCTGGTGCTGGAGGGAGGGCGCAGAGAGACTGAGACGCCACAGGGAAGAGTGGGAAGAGGCAGCCCTGCTCCTCTGCTGACCAGGCCGGCAGGCCGGAAGGGACAAGGCCTTCTACCTGGCTGTGCCTACCTTCAGTTCCTCAGGAAACTGCTGCTCTTCCTGTAACTTCCTGGAATCCGGCACGGCTGTCAGGAACAGGAACTCCTGTTTGGTGCTGTAGGCTAAGACAGAGAGGTGAGAACTCTTCTCATGGAGAAGCAGAAAAGAGGCCGAGAAGTGGGCCTACATGGACACGCCCAACCAGTATTTGGCAGGTGCAAAAGCAATTGGGTAGAGGGGGATGTCTTTTCAACAAGTGGTACTTGAGCAACTGAACATCTATCTATATATATAAAAGCCTAAGTAACCGTTCTACCATTCAACCAGTAGCTATGATGTGCACTACCACCAGGGGGCAGATGCTCAACGTACAGGCATGGAAACATGGGACAGACTGATGAATCTCAGAAGGAAGCGGGGAGGGCGGGAAGAGATTAACCAAAGATCTTATATGCATACTAGAGGCCTGGTGCACAGATTCATGCACTGGTGGGGCCCTTCGACCTGGCCTGCGGGGATCGGACCGAATCTGGTTCTCCGACATCCCCTGAAGGGTCCCGGATTGCGAGAGGGTGCAGGTCAGGCCAAGGGACCCCATCCACCGGGTCTCTAGTAGACACATAAAACTGTAAAAATAAAAATAAAAAACATAGGAGAAAAGTTTTGGAAAATTTGATAAAATAAACCTCCTCAAAATAAAAACTTTGCTTTGCACAGATCACAGAAAGGCAAACTACAGCCCGGGAGAAAAATTTGCAAAGGATTTATACCTAGAATACATGAGAACTCTCAGAATTCAACAGTAAAAAATAATCCAATTAGAAAGTGGGTAAGACATGAACAGACATTTCACCAAAGAGGATAAACAGGTAGTAGATAAACACATGAAAGGATGTTCAACATCATGAGCCATCAGGTAAATGCAAATTAAAGCCACACCGAATTGCTACAGGGTGGGGCAAAAGTAGGTTTACAGCTATTGGCATGGAAAATAATACAATAATTAATAAACAATAATACAAGAATTGTGTTTCATGTACTCACAACTATAAACCTACCTTTGGTCCACCCTGTAGTTAGAGAATAGTCACAAGGATATAAAGTACAATATAGGGAATATGGTCAATAATATTGTAGTAACTGAGTATGGTGTCAGAGGGCTACTAGATTTATCAGGGTGATCAATTTGTAAGTTATATAAATGTTTAATCAGCCCTAACCGGCTTGGCTCAGTGGATAGAGCGTTGGCCTCTGGACTCAAGGGTCCCAGGTTTGATTCCGGTCAAGGGCATGTGCCTTAGTTGCGGGCACATCCCCAGTAGGATGTTGCAGGAGGCAGCTGATCGATGTTTCTCTCTCATCGATGTTTCTAACTCTCTACTGGGACCCTTGAGCCTGCAGGCTGAAGCTCTATCCACTGAGCCAAACCGGTTAGGGAAAGAAATTTAATTATTTAAAAAGCCAGGTTAGAAGTCAAGTTAGTGCTTACATACTAATTTAAAAATTCATGGGAACTGCCCTGGCCGGTTTGGTTCAGTGGATACAGCATTGGCCTGGGGACTGAAAGGTCCTGGGTTCAATTCTGGTCAGGGGCACATGCCTGGGTTGCAGGCTCAATCCCCAGTAGAGGGTATGGGGGAGGCAGCCGATCAATGATTCTCTTTCATCATTGATGTTTCTATCTCTCCCTCTCCCTTCCTCTCTGAAATCAATAAAAATACATATATATATTTTTTAAAAAACCATGGGAACTGAGATGAGACTAGAGAAACCTTACAAAATGCTAGTCCAGAATAATCAATTTATAGTCAACTGATTTTTGGAAGACCTTTGGAGCAAAATTTGAAGATAAGTTTCAGACCTCTATAATCAAACATTTATTTTTCAAAACTTTGCAAACACTAATACATACCTAGAAAAAATAGAGCAAATAAAATTATAAAAATCAGCAAAACGAAGCATGGACAAAGGCACAGTTCACTTTTTTAAAAAAATCAAAACCTCCCCCCTTAGGTCATTAATACCAACACTGCACACTCCCCTGCAGCCCCCACCTGCCCAGTCCTCGCGTCCCCCCTCCCCGTCCAGCACTGCCAGGAGAACGCACAGGGAGAACTCCTTACCAACGCCCCGACAACAGTAACCCAGCTCCACAGCTTCCTTTTGTGACTCCAGTAGAAATCTCTCTGCCATGCACCTTTATGAATCCCACTAAAGTATTTTTTCCCCATTTTCTAGGTTTGGGTTAAAAGGCAACCTAACCAGAGCTGTGCCCAGCAGCTGTTCTGGACCTGTAACAGGGACAAGAGTGTTGTTTATGGTGCAGAACTAGACAAGGCATCAGTGCCATCAGCAAGGCTGCTGGACACACTCAGGCTCTGACACCAACGTCTGTCTATCCTCCTCCTGCACAATCTGGCCACCTTTGGAGCAGCACTAAGGTGCTCAAAAAAAGGTCACATTCCCCTCCCGTCTGGTCACTTCCTGTTCCCACAGCATCTTCTACTAGTAGCACTACAATGCTTAGCTAGTTCAACACTTAGTTCAACAGACTTCTGTAGAAATCTAAGCTTCTTAATAACATTTAAATAGGACAATGTATTGTGAATTTTAAACAACTGACCTATCAATCAATCAGCTTTTGAAGAGCAGCCCATTTCATGTACCAGGAGCAAAATAAATGGGCCCTGGCAGCTGTGGAATGTCTCACATACTGGCCAGTCATCTGCCCATTTTTAGCATTTTTATGATTTTAAACTTCCTGGTGTTTTCTCCCCAGCTCGCCTTGGCCCTGCTTCGAAGAGAGTGAAATAAAACTGGCAGCATGATTTATGTTTGGTTTGGTCTTTCCATTGCTTTGTCGATGACCATTTATTTCCAGCAGGTATCATTATGCCACTATGATCAAACAGTGCTTCCCTTCCCCTCTGGCCCTCAGGAACAAGACTCCAGCTGTGAGACCAAGGATTCTGATCCTCCAGTTTTGGCCAGGTGCCTTCATAACCTATCAGCTCACTTTCGGTATAGGCCTCATTCTATTCACAATGCATTTAAATTTACCAAGTGACACACTGCTTTGTTTTTCTAGAAGGGATCACATCCACTCATCTCTGTGACCATGCTGTGTCCAGTCACCCAGTGTCTCCCCCTTCACACACCAGGCAGGAGGCATGCAAAGACTCTGAAGTCACTGGCTCTGTCCTTAAGCGGCTTACAACCAAGGTGAGGGGCTAAGTGGAGCAAAAGATTGGGAGAGGAAGTCAAACAGGACTGAGCCGAAAATCAGTGTCCACACTTATGCACCAGATGCACTATTCTCAACGTCCCTGCCATGAAATTCCCATAGCTGGATGGGATCTATTTCCCTAGTTACAACTCCCGATCCTAGTTCAACATGACACTTGAATGTGTCAACCACGGATAAGCCACTGCCACAAATATCACTGTGGCTTCATTGCTGAGCTGAAGAGAGACCATAACCCTATTAAAAACAAAAAACAAGGTAAGCATTGCTTTCAACAGCAGTTCAGGACATATCTGCTCTTCCTGTCAGCTTAACTAGTAAGGGAATCATCAGGAACAGGCAGGTGAGAAGAAAACACGGCCCTCCACTGAGGGGGTCTAGAACAGAGCCGGTTTCCCAGAGAACAGAGCCAGACAAGCCACCCCACAGACACCAAGTTACAACCGGCCCCTCGGTGCTGGGACCAAGGATTTGCTACCTGCGTTTCAGGAAATGGACGCATGATCCTGCTGTGTTGCCAGTTATTTCCTTATGATAAATATTTCACACGAGGCTTTTGGTTCAAAGGTGAAAATACTGTGACCACCAGTAAAACAAAGCCTAACACATGAGAAAAATCTCTTGCAGACACAAGTTTACAAAACTCTTCCAGTTTCCTGTTCAGCTTTCAGACCCATCAGGGGGTTAAGGCTCCCCGCTACCCCCAGAGACAGAGGGGGTAAGTGACCATTCCCACTAAAACGTAGGGCTCAGGGGCAGGAGATGCCTGAACCACCACCCACAGTCTTCTCTGATGGCCTTCAGGGGGGTTGTTTAACTTCAAGGAGCTCAATCATCTACACTAGACCCTGTGTGTGAGCTCACTGCCTTTATTCATAACTCAGCTAACAGACATCCATCTCTGTGATTCTAGCCAGGCACTTAGGGACAAGTCCTCCGTAGTCAAAGATGGCTGCGCCATGTTGTGGGCCCAACAGCAAAGAGTTCTCACTGAGTTCAGTGCACATCATGGGGCTGACACCACCCTCCCTGGTGGCCCGTCCTCACCAGGACCCTCTCCATGCTTCGCTGAGGGGGGCCCAGTGTGTGCTGGCTCCAAAGTTCCCACCTGGAGTGGTTCACTGGCCACAGCCATCACACGGCCACACGGGGCATCAGAGGGCACGAGGAATACCTGGTGAGCAGCACAGAGGACTACACCCATCTTTCCTCAGGTCTTAAATCCTAAAGCATCCAATAGATTCAATAAAACATTTCTAAAATAATAAATAAAATTCCAAAACTTTTCATCCTTCTCTGTAGGTTTTTCTTTCTTTCCCTGTAATTTTTTACTCCCCTTTACAAAACCTCTAAGCTTTAACACTTTTCTGAAAACATTCAGCATCAAATCTGCCATATCAAAGCAGAATGAAACCTCGTTTATCAGTTACCACTGAGGAATGAGGTGTTCTCTGGAGGAGCCAGAGAATAATATAACGCGAAACACACATCTAATTTAATTATTTTTTGTGGAAGTCTCATAAATATATTACCTATTCTACTTTTTTAAACAAAATAAGCCATAAATACTTTAACCTCGTGACCTGCCCTGTAGGTGCCTTCCTTACCAGGCGGTGACTTTTAAAGAACTCACAAGTAAAATGTGTGGTTTCATGGTCTCAGCAGCTCCGATTCTCGTTCAGCTTCCCAGCTCTGTTCACACTTGGGGTTCTCCACCGGGCCCCACTCCTAGATTCAAAATGACTTAGTCTCTGGTTGGCCCTCAAGCAGCAAAGGTTTTCAAAGCCCCCAGTGATTCTGAAATGCCAGGAGGAGGAGAACCGCTGCCCTACCTCTCAGCAAGGGGCCTCCATTCTCGGTAAGCACGCTGGAGGAGTGGAGCCATGTCCAAACTCCCAGGCTAAGCTCACCGCCTCAAAGTCCAACAAGGCTCCGAGACGGAGCCCGTGTGTCTCACAGAGGCCCCAGTGCCCAGGGCAAACCACCTGGATACCTGCAGGGATGAGCCTACCATCCAGAGGCAGCCTCAGGTTCTCATGAGGGCCATGTAACTGACAACTATTGTTAGTGGAAACTATGGAGCTAAGAACCCCGCCTTGGGGCTGATTTCAGGGCTACCCTCTTCTGCCTGCAGATCCTCTTCCAACCTTGTTGTTACTGAACAGACAGGGAGACACAGAGACGGGAGCCGGAGATGGGGGCACCAGGCAGCCCTCAGTGCTGCAGGGACACACCCAGGAGCTCTAGGCATAGCAGAGCCTGCAGGCGAAAATCAGGAAAATGCTCATGTGATAATTTTCTAATCTTTGCTAAGGGCCACCCTCTGCAGGATGTACAAAGAGTCGTACAAAATAAGGATGATGAGCACACCCACGGTCACAAACATCTTCCCTAACCGAAAACTGCTCCTAAGCCTGACACCTCCCCTGTGTTTCGCCTCACTCTGCCTCTGAAAGGAGTCACTTTGGGGTTCAAGATGACCAATACTGCACCTCCTTGTGCATGCCCAGCACTTCACCGGTCACTCAGAAAGCCTCGCTGTGCTCAGGTCAGTCTTAGGGGCTAAGACCCAGGTAAGCGAAGGACAAGAGCAAGACCTAGAAGCAGCTCTGCTAAAGCTGAGCTTGGTGCTCTCTGTGTCGTCCTCTGACTGCCCACATCAAGTCAAGGGAGTTAAAAATCCTCAAACACAACCTGACATGCACATATTTAAATCACCTTCTTTCTGATGCACTAAGGTGACCTGCAAACGTGTGGCCACCAGTGCACAGCGCCAGCTGGCACCCAGGCATGCTGATCAACCACAGTCTTGTCTCACGATGGCGCCAAGCAGAACACATTCTCAGATTCGGAGCCTGTGGGATGCCATGGAGGAGGCACCAAGGAACCCACCAAGAAAGCATGTTCTGTCTACCCCGAAGGGCGGAGCTGGTGAGAACCATCCCCTGCCTTTTCACCCCACACCTCTATATGGTTAAGGATGTGGATGCCATGACCTCCCCGGAATCTTCTGGAACAAAAGTCCTTGGATTCCGTGACAGAGATCATTTGTGCATGTACTCAGAAACAATATCGCAGCAATGTCTGGATTAGCCAAAATTCATTCCACACGGCAGCATACCTACCATCCGGGTCTTTAAAGGTCAAGGTGATGAATTTGCTGGCCACCATGAACATGAAAATCACCCAAAAGCATGCAGCCAACAGAAGCCACTGGTGGTGCATGTTGTCAAACGTCAGCCATTCAGTGATTCTTCCTGGAAAACAAGCGGAGTGCTCCTGCTGCTTACAAATACATCAATTAAACAAATGATCAGAAAAACAATAGGGGATTCCAGTTAATAGCATCAGTACAAATATTTTTTAAAAACCTTTTATTGATACCATGGGTATTTTGACTTAGTCTTTAACTTAACATTTTATTTTTAATTAATAATAACGTCTCGATTTGGTAATTAAGTCAAAGGTAAAACACCTGGATGGGAAGGAGCCACTTCTCTCTGCTTAGGAACTTGTGATAAAATTTTACTTTTGCAGATTTGCCTCTTGACTGCTTTCTGGGTCAGACTAACATCTAAATGTTTCCAATCTCCTGTGCTGAGGATCGCCATCTGCAGGAGGCTGTGTGTAGTGTCATGCAGAATAAGGAAGCTGAGCACACCCAAGGCCACAATCATCTTCTGCGAGGCAGTCCTCGTCAGGCCAACCTAAAACTGCTCCCACATCCCCGACATCTCCCCTGTGCCTTGCCTCACCCTGCCTCTGAAGCGTCGATTTGGGGTTCAAGATGACCACCACTGCACCTCTTTGCAGGTACCTAGCACTTCATGTGTCAAAATGTTTCTCTTACCCAGCGCCCGCCAGGGCCTAGAAGCAGGTGGGCAAGAGGAGCCCTGCCCAGGGCTAGACCTTCGAAGAGGGCAGAAGCCATACTGGGCATCACGAGCAGGCTGCTTAGAACCCTGACTTCCCGACGAGATGTAGCCACACTTAGAGAATCTGTACACAGAATCTGTACACAGGAGAAACGAACATCAAAACTTCTCTGTCTCCATTCACTTGCCTGCAAGGGCCAGTGCAGAAACTGGGGGGTGGGTGTTTTTCATGCTTTCGTTGCCCAGGAGGGATGCAGGTCACACAAGTCCCACTCTGCTGCAGGAGACAGATAAAGAACCAGGAAGTCAAGTCAGTTCTCAGCAAGAGAGACAAACATGCATGTTTCATTTCACCTTTAACACAGCGCTTCTCCAAGCCAAACCAAACCCTTTAAAGGGGCCATGCTGGCTGGGCTGGTTTCTGCCAGATGGCTGAGGGCATCCATCACTCGCCAGTGGTGAGAACTGGTCCTCTCAGCATGTGTTGATGGCAAACAGCTTCAGAGAGTTTCTAAACACTAGATGGGACGGAGCTCGGGGTGGACCCAGGGGATCAACTCTCCTCCTTGTTTCAAAAATGTTTACGTCCTAGACCAGGCGTGGGCAAACTTTTTGACTCGAGGGCCACAATGGGTTCTTAAACTGGACCGGAGGGCCGGAACAAAAGCATGGATGGAGTGTTTGTGTGAACTAATATAAATTCAAAGTAAACATCATTACATAAAAGGGTACGGTCTTTTTTTTCAATAGTTTTATTCATTTCAAATGGGCTGGATCCGGCCCGTGGATTGTAGTTTGCCCACGGCTGTCCTAGACTCTCACTGGGACCAGGCATCTGAAACCCAAATGTCCCCCACCATGTGGTTACCCAGCCTACACCTCACGCCCTGCAGCGGGGAATTCACCACCTAACGTGCAGCCTTTCGCAGGTGGCTTGTGCATCACCTTCTGTCACCCTCAGCTGCCCATTCATTAGGCCCAGTGTGCTTCCTGAGGCCCCCAAGCAGGGGACCAAATTAAACAGATTAAGCAAAAACACAAGACACCCAGTTAAGTCTGAATTTCAGAGGAACAACAAATGAACTTTTTAGTATCAATATATCTCAAATAGTGCATGGGATATACTTACACTAAAAGAAGCTATTTGCTCTCTCTCTGAATTTCAAACTTAACCAGTGTTCTGTATTTTATTGGGCAACACTACCCAACAAAGGGAATGCCACTCCCTCTCCACCTGCTTGAAGCCAGCTGGCCTTTCCAAGCCGAGTGCCCTTTCTCCTCTGTCATCATCTTTTGAGACAGCACTGCAGAAGCCAGAGAGACCTGGCTGGGTCCACCACTCACTGGCTCTGCGACTTAGCAAGTGACTTAGCCTCTCTGAGCTTGGCGTCCCATCTCTGAGACCAGGCCTTCCTTCCAGGTGGTCATGGGATTAAGTGTACCTACCTGGTTTGGAACAGACCCCCTACAAATGGGAACTGGCCAGTACCTCAGTGCCCTGTGACTTTCTGACTTAATCAATATACCCTTCTAAGGGTGGTGGTGGGAAACTGTTGTGACAGGCTGCTCTGCCCCAAGATGAAAGGAAAGGGAAAGCCAGACTCAACCCAGGCGACTCAAGCTACTATCCCTTCCTTCTAAAGACAAGTGAGGCAAAGACTGTGCCCAGCGGTGCAGGGTACCGCACTCCTGAGTCCACTAAGCTCGTCCTTTCAAGACAATGACACTCAATAAAGTCCATCCCCATCGGCGATGCCCCACCGAGAAACCCCAGCTGTAGCCTTTTCTAACAGAGGCAACGAGGATAGTGTGGACTGGGGAGTGAGTACAGAGAAAGGAGATAGGGATTCAGCAGGTGGTATGCAACCTAAGCAGAGAGGCATCTGCTCCTGTGCACTGGTTCTCAGGACGAGTTAGAGGCGGAGGAAGAGGGCCGATGCTGAATGGCCTGGAGCTTGCAGTCCACGCTGTGCTAAGTGCCGTAGCCAGTGAACACAGACGAGGGAACCCTTCACATATGCACACACACTTCCACTGCACAGCAGGGATCACAAAGACCTCTTCACTGCCCACTCTCAGCTTCTTGCTCTGAGACCCTGTGTACTTCCTGGGTCTCAGGCCCTCGCACCAACTCAGCATCAGGCCCACCCCCAGCAGGTTTTCACGGTTTAACTTTCCAATGGGAACTAGGTTTTTGAAGGGGTCTAATTTGAGTCCACCCAACAAGCTCACCTCTAAATCAAAGCAGGGAGATCATGAAAATGAAGAACACATCTGCTCTCCAGGAAGCCCAGTGGCTTAGGGATAGCATTTTCCATCTGGCAAGTTGTGATGTGAGACATGCATGATCCTGAAGCCATGCCTGCCTTCCCAAGTCTTGGGTTTTCATTTAAAGTCAGGAGCACCTTGCTTCTTCCACCCAGGCCTGGGGCAGGGACAGGATCTGGTCTACTCTCTTCTTCCCTGAGCTGGGTGGCTGGGGATTAGTCAACAATTAGCTCTCTGGGCCCCATTTCCCATCGATAAGGATAAAACAGCCACCTGTGTACTTTCCAGTGTGCTGTGAGACAGAACCTGCCTCCTCTAAACTTGTATCACCTGCCCAGCCGACAGGGCTCGGTGGTTGAGCATTGACCCAGGAACTAGGAGGTCATGGTTCAAATCCTGGTCCGGGCACATGCCAGGTTGTGGGCTCGATCCCTAGTAGGGGGCATGCAGGAGGCAGCCAATCAATGATTCTCTCTCATCGTTGATGTTTCTATCTCTCCTCCTCTCTCAGAAAACAATTTAAAGAAAAACGTATTTAAAACAAAGGCTATAGTAAGAGACAAAGAAAGACACTACATAACGATAAAGGGCGCAATCCAACAAAAGGATATAATCCTTGTAATCATTTATGCTCCCAACATAGGAACACCTAAATTTTAAAAGCAAATTTTGATGGATGTAAAGGAACAGACTGACAGTAACACAATCATAGAAGGGGACTTTTATACCCTATTGACATCAATGGGTAGATCTTCCAGACAGGAAATCAACAAGGAAAGTGTGGCCTTAAATGGCACACTAGACCAGATGGATTTAACTGACATCTTTAGAGCATTTCATCTCTAAGCAGGAGAATATACATTCTTTCCAAGTGCACACAGAATATTTGCTAGGATAGACCACATGTTAAGAGACAAAACAAGTATCAATAAATTTAAGAATTCTGAAATTATATCAAGCATATTTTCTGACCATAATAGTTTGAAACTAGAAACCAACCACAGGAAAAAAACTGAAAAACTGAAAAAGACATGGAGGCTAAATAACATGGAACTAAACAATGAATGGGTTAACAATGAGATCAAAGAAGAAATCAAAGATATCTTGGACCCTGGCCAGCATGGCTCAGTGGTTAAAGCGTCAGCCTGCAGACCAAAGGTCACAGGTTTGATTCTCTGGGTTGCAGTTTGATCCCCGACCCTAGTCAAGGCATGTGCAGGAGGCAACTAATTGATGAGTCTTACTCACTTTCTCTCTCTGTCTCTCTCTCTCCCCCTCCCTTTCTTTTTTCTTCTCTCCCTTCTACTCTAAAAACTCAATGAAAAAAATAGCCTTGGGTCAGGATTAACAAACAACAAAAATCAATGGAGCCCTGACCGGTTTGGCTCAGTGGATAGAGCGTCAGCTTGCGGACTGAAGGGTCCCAGGTTCGATTCCGGTCAAGGGCATGTACCTTGGTTGAGGGCACTTCCCCAGTAGGGGGTGTTCAGGAGGCAGCTGATCTATGTTTCTCTTTCATCAATGTTTCTAGCTCTCTATCCCTCTCCCTTCCTCTCTGTAAAAAAATCAATAAAATATATTTTTTTAAAAATCAATAGAAAAAATATCCTCAGGTGAAGATTAGCAAATTACAACAAAAAAGATACCTTGAAACAAATGAAAATGAGGACACAACAAACCAAAATCTGAGACACATCAAAAGCAATTCTAAGAGGGAACTCCATAACATTTTAGGCCTACTTCAAGAAACAAGAAAAATCTCTAATAAACAATCTAACTTCACACTTAAAAGAACTGGGAAAAAACAACAAACAAAACCCAAAATGAATAGAAGGAAGGAAATAATAAAGATCAGAGCAAAAATAAACAAAATATTCTTAAAAAATAATACAAAAGATCAATAAAACCAAGAGCCAGTTCTCTGAAAAGATAAACAAGACTGACAAACCTTTAACCAGACTCACCAAGAAAAAAAGAGAGAGGACCCAAATAAATAAAATCAGAAATGAAAGAGGAGAATTAACTACTGACTCCAAAGAAATACAAAGGATTGTAAGAAAACATTACGAACATCTATATGTCAATAAATTGGACAATCTGGAAGAAATGGATAAATTCCTAGAAACATACAATCTTCCAAAACTGAATCAGGAAGTCAGAAAATCTGAATAGATAAATCACAACTAGTGAAACTGAAGCAGTAATAAAAATAAATAGATTAAAAATAACCAAAACACCAACAAATAAAAGTCCTGGATTGTATGACTTTACAGATAAATTTTATCAAACACTCAAAAAAAAACAAAACCTAATACCTATCTTTCTCAAACTATTATAAAAAAGTCAAGAAGTGAAAAGACTCCCAAGCTCATTTTATAAGCCAGTTTATTCTAATTCCAAAACAAGATAAAGACACTATAAAGAAAGAAAATTTTAGGCCAATATCCCTAATAAACATAGATGCTAAAATCCTCAACAAAATATTAGCAAACCAGATCCAGAAATATATTAAGAAGGTCATACACCATGACCAAGTGGGATTTATTCTGGGGATGAAAGGTTGGTATAATATCTACAAATCAATAAGTATGATACATCATATAAACAAAAGAAAGATAAAAATCACATGATTATATCAACAGATGCAGGAAAGCGCTGGATAGAATCCATCATCCACTTATGACCAAAACTCTCAGGAGAGTGGGACTAGAGGAAACATACCTTAATGTAATAAACCCACAGCAACATCATTCTCAATGGGCAAAAACTAAGTGTTTTCCTTAGGATCTGGAACAAGACAGGGATGTTGGCTTCCATCACTCTTATTCAACATAGTACTGGAAGTCCCAGCAACAGCAATCAGACAAGAATAAATAAAAGGCATTCAAACTGGAAAGGAAAAAGTAAAATTGTTATTATTTGCTGATAACATGTTACTGTATGTAGAGAACCCTAAAGATTCAACCAAAAATCTACTAGAATTGACATGTGAATTCAGTAAAGTAACAGGATACAAAAGAAATACCCAGAAATCAGTTACATTTGTATACACCAATAATGAACTATCAGAAATGGAAACTAAGAAAAAAAACCCATTTGCAATTGCCTCAAAAAAAAAACAACAAAAACCTAGGAATACATTTAACCATTTTAAAAGACCTGTTTTCAGAAAATTTTAAGGCACTGAAGAAAGAAACTGAAGAAGATACAAATAAGTAGAAACATATACCATGTTCATGGACAGGAAGAATTAATGCCATTAAAATGTCCACACTACCCAAGATTCAATGCAATTATAATCAAGATACCAATAGCGTATTTCATAGAACTAGAACAAATACTCCAAAATTTTATATGAACCACAAATGACCCTGAATAGCCACAGCAATCTTGAGAAAGAACAAAGTTAGAGGAATCATGCTATCTGATATTAAACTATAGTATAAGGCCATAGTAATCAAAACAGAATAGTACTGGCATAAAAACAGACATATAAACCTATTGAACAGAATAGAGAGTCCAGAAATAAACTAACATCTTTATAGTCAATATTTACAAAAGAGGCAAAAACATACAATGGGGTAAAGATGGACTATTCAATAAATGGTGTTGGAAAACTTGGACAGATATTTGCAAAAGAAAAAAAAAACACTAGAACACCTCCTTATACCATACATAAGAATAAACTCAAAATGGATTAGAGATTTAAATGTTGGACCCAAAAACATAATAATCCTAGAAGAAAACATAGGCAGTAAAATCTTGGACATTTCTCATAGCAATATTTTTCTGATATATTGCCTTGGGCAAGGGAAACAAAAGAAAAAATAAACAAATGGGACTACATCAAACTAAAACGTTTTTGCACAGCAAGGAAACCATCAATAAAATGAAAAGACAACCCACTGACTGGGAGAACATATTCACAGACACAGTTACATATTAATAAATTTGGCTTAATATCCAAAATTTATAAGGAAGTTATAAAATTCAACATCAAAATAACAAATAATCCAATTAAGGAATGAGTAAAGGACCTGAATAGACATTTCTCCAAAGAGGACATACAAATGGCCAATACACATGAAAGGATGCTTGCAGTCACTAATCATTAGAGAAATGCAAATTAAAACAATGAGATATCACCTCACACCTGTCAGAATGGCTATCATCAATGAATCAACAAACTAGTGTTGGTGAGGATGTGGGAAAAAGGGAACCCTAATGCACTGTTGGTGGGAATGCAGATTGGTGCAACCAATGTCGAAAGCAGTATGAAGTTATCTCAAAAAATTAAAAATAGAACTGTCTTATGATCCAGCAATTCCTCTACTGGGAATATATCCAAAGAAACCCAAAACACTACTTTGAAAGAACAGATGCACCCATATGTTTTTTGCAGTGTTATTTACAACTAGAGGCCCAGTGCACGAAATTCATGCACGGGTAGGGTCCCTAGGCCTGGCCGGCGATCAGGGCCGATCAGGGCCTTCCTTCATTCTGCACCACCCCCTGGTGGTCAGCGCATATCATAGCGAGTGATCAAACTCCCAGTCTCCCAAACTCCCATGGGGACAATTTGCATATTAGCCTTTTATATATGTATATATGGAAAATCTAAGATTTGGAAGCAGTCCAAGTACCCATCAGTAGATGAGTAGATTAAAAAGCTGAAGTACATTTATACAACTGAATATTATTCAGCCACTAAAATCGTATCTCTTGCAACAGCATGGCTGGACCTGGAGATTATTATGCTAAGTGAAATAAGCCAGTCAGAGAAAGACAAGTACCATATGATTTTATTTCTATGTGAAATCTAATGAACAAAATAAACTAACAGGCAAAGTGGAGACAGACTCATAGATATAGAGAATAGATTGACAGCTGTCAGAGGGAAGGGAATTTGGGGCGGGGGGGGGGCGGGGGGGAGTGGCCTGGGATTAAGCAAAAAAAAAAAAAAAGTGAAGGAATTAAGCAAAACAAACAAACAAAAAACCTCATAGCCTCAGAATGAAAGGAGGATGAGGGGGAGTACAAGAGGGCAAACTTGGAATAAATGGTGCTGGAAGGAGACTTGACCTGGAGTGGCCAACACAGAATACAATATACAGATGATGTAATGTAGAATCGTATACCTGAAACCTATATAATTTTATTAACCAATGCCACCTCAATAAATACAATTTTAAAAAAGCAGTAAAACATTTTTAGAAAAAATGAGAGCTGTTAGGAAAACTTAGGAGAGCTGAAAGACACTTTAGCAGACACCTTGCCCAACTTTCTACCTAAGACTTTCCAAACTAAGTATTTTAATATGAGGCCTCTTTTCAACTTCAAAATTATTTCTTCAGTCTCCACATGAGAACAGTTATATATTTAATATCCATTAACTGAGACTAGAAAACAAGCTACTAGGGTTTCAGTATTACTTGAAAATAAAATTATATTTTATAAGTCATGGAACTTACATGCACTTTAATAGATATGGAACTTAGAAAATAAAGAATGGAAGATTAATAAATCCTGCAGAAGTCCAAAAAATATTTTTGAACTATAAATAAAACTCTATGCCAAAAGGTGCGCCAATGACGGGCCCAAAGTGTCAAGATATATCAGTAAAAAAAAAAAAAAGAAAAAGTTGCAGAACTGAATGTATGATCCTATTTGCTAAAAAACTGTATATGCATGAATGTGATTATATACACATGCAAACACACACATATATATATGCACAGATTAAATTATTGAGGGTGAGTGGAGTCATTTTTTGCTTTGTACGATTTTGTATTTTAAAAAAAATTTTGCAATAAGTACATATCCATCCTATATAATAGAGAAACATGCAAATTAACCATCCCTCTGCTATGCTCAAGCCACACCCACAAGACAATTAGGAGTGAGTATGGAAATTAACCCAACTAAGATGGCGGCAGCCACGGAGCTGGAGCAGCAGGAGGCTTGGGTTGCCCCCGGCGATGGAGGAAGTCAAGCTTCCCACCTGCCCTGGCCAGCCCTGGGCTTCGCTCAAGGCTACAAAGTTTCAATTATAGAAGATAAATAAATCCCAGATACCTGCTTCCAGCCCACCCTGGCCTCCGCTCAAGGAGGCACTGAAAAAAAAAAAAAGAAAGAAAAAAAAGAGAAAAAGGAGAGGCTGGGAGCTTGGGTCGCCAGGGGGCATGGCCAGCCTGAAAACGGCCATCAGCCCCTCACCCAGGCTGGCCAGGCACCCCAGTGGGACCCCCCCCAAACCCTAAAGGGGCTGTGGGCAGCCTGAAAAAGGCCCTCAGCCCCTCACCCAAGCTGGCCACACCCCCATGGGGTGAGGGTCCCTACTGGGGGGCTTGGCTAGCCTGCAAACAGCCATCAGCTCCTCACCCTGGCTGGCCAGGCACCCTGAGGGACCCCTCCACCCTGAAGGGGCTGTGGCCAGCCTGCAAACAGCAATCAGCCCTTTACCCAGGCTGGCCAGGCACCCCAGTGGGGACCTCCACCCTAAAGGGGGTGTGGCCAGCCTGAAAACAGCCCTCAGCCCCTCACCCAGGCTGGCCACACTCCCATGGGGTGAGGGTCCCCGCTGGGGGGCTTGGCTAGCCTGAAAACGGCCCTCAGCCCCTCACCCAGGCTGGCCAGGCACCCCAGTAGGACCCCCACCCTGATCCGGGACACCCTTCAGGGCAAACCAGCCAGTCCCCTCCCATGCACCAGGCCTCTATCCTATATAATAAAAGGGTAATATGCAAATTGACCCTAACAGCAGAACGACTGGGAATGACTGGTCACTATGACACACATTGACCACCAGGGGACAGACGCTCGATGCAGGAGCTGCCCCCTGGTGGTCAGTGTGCTCCCACAGGGGGAGCTCTGCTCAGCCACACACCAGGCTGATGGCTGCCAGCACAGCGGTGGTGGCGGGAGCCTCTCCCACCTCCTCAGCAGCGCTAAGGATGTCCGACTGAAGCTTAGGCCTGCTCCCCGCTGGCAAGTGGACATCCCCCGAGGGCCCCCCGGGCTGACAGAGGGATGTCTGACAGCCAACTTAGGCCTGATCCCCCAGCCAGCTTAAGCCAGCAGGTGGACAGGCCGGGTTGAGGGACACCCCCAAGTGCACAAATTTTTGTGCGCTGGGCCTCTAGTTTTATAATAAAAACCAATAAAATATAGAAAATGCCAACTATATACATGTACCCTGTTGTCTTTATTTCTGTGGTTTAATTTTTTTCTGTCTCATTTCTAACAAATTCAGTTTACTTACCACTTTGTAAGGTATGATAAATACTTTCCTTTCTGGGAAAAACTCATATGAAGTGGCAAAGTCAGTATGTATCTGAATATTTAGTAAATACATCTCTATCATCATTGTTTTTTAGTTTTTAAAATATGTAATATTTAAAACATAAAGTACAGAGGATAACATAACAAATATCTGTTTATGGACACTCAGCTCTAATAGTTTTGTTGTACTTATTTGAGTTTTTTAAAAGGAAATCAAATATACAAATAAGGTTGGCACCTCTCTATGGTCCTGCCTGGTCCTAATTCCTTCCCTCTCCAGAGCCACCCCTCAACCTGGGTGATTACACTTTTACATCAGAAACTGCTCCTTTGATAGACACAGCAGCAGGGGCTTAGGAAGGTGGTCTTCCCTGCCCAGATAAAGGAAGGCAGACTGGGGAAGGTGGGAAGGTGAGTTTACTTGGGACCTGCAGGGAGATACTGCTCTACGTAAGGATGCTTTCATTGCGTATGAGGACACAAGCCAGAGGAAAAGCCTGGCATGGGGAGATGCACAATTATGAAGCACTTACTCTTTTATCTTTCTCATGGTATTGCAAGAAAATTCATAAATTGTACACAGACTCAAGTGAAAAAGCTGTCAAGGTAAACTGGTTAAAAATTTAGATAAACTGAGATTTGTTAGGGAAGGGGAGAGAGAGAGAGAGAGGGAGGGAGGGAGGGAGGGAGGGAGGGAGGGAGAGAGAGAGAGAGAGAGAGAGGGAGAGAGAGAGAGAGAGAGAGAGAAACATCGATGTGAGAAAACACCGATGTGAGAAACATCGGCTGCTTGCCTTCCGTAAGCGCCCTGACTGGAGATCAAACCTGAAACCCAGGCATGTGCCCAGACTGGGAATTGAACCAACAACCTTTCAGTACGCAGGACGATGCTCAAACAGCTGAGCCACTCCGGACGGACAACTGCATACACTTTTTAAAAAATTACATTAGTCCATGTGACTTTTCAAAAAATATGTTTTTATTGATTTCAGACAGAGAAAGGGAGAGGGAGAGAGGGATAGAAATATCAGTGATGAGAGAGAATCATTGATTAGCTACCTCCTGCACACCCCCTACTAGGGATCAAGCCTGCAACCCAGGTATGTGCCCTGACTAGATATCAAACCATTACCTCCTGGTTCATAAGCACTGAGCCACACTGGCTGGGCTGCATAAACTTTTAAAGGACACAACCTAAAAATAATTATATTTACCAATATCATCATATAAGGCAGTGATGGCGAACTTATGACACACGTGTCAGAGGTGACACGCAAACTCATTTTTTAAATTTTTCTTTGTTAAATGGCACTTAAATATATAAATTATCAAAAATATAAATCTTTGTTTTACTATGGTTGCAAATATCAAAATATTTCTATATGTGACACAGCACCAGAGTTAAGTTAGGGGTTTTCAAAATGCTGACACGCTGAGCTCAAAAGGTTCGCCATCACTGATATAAGGTGTACCCACCCATCCAACAGAACAGCAGGGATACTACACTGAGTCTCAAACCAAGACACTACACGGTTCGTGTCTTATAGAGCCTGCAGTCTACTGGAAAGACCCACATGCAAAAAAGAATCTATCCAAGAAGTGGCATGAGGCAGAGGGACGTGGTGCTGTGAGAGGACAATACAAAAAGACATGACCTGGATAGAGAGATGGGGACAACACAATTACCTAAGGAGCTGAAGGGGTCGGGTTCCAGAACGGGGGAACAGCATGAAACTAGGTCCAGAAGTAGAAGGGTGCAAGCTGGGGGCCCCTGGGTAACTGAAGGAGGGCCATGTGGCTGCAGTTTCCAGAGCTTGGTTATCAACGAGCCTAGGAAGATATGGTCAGATAATGCTGGGCCTTAGAGAGCTGTTACAGAATTTGGTTTCTACCTTGTGAGCAATGGAAAGCCACTGGAAGGAGTAATGCATGAGAAGAAGGGGGATAATGTTGTGATACACCTTAAATTTTGAAACCATTTCTCTGGCAGCACAAAGATATAAAGTGCAACTGTCCACTTGGCCTCCCTCCAGTCTCAAGGCATTTCCAACAATGGAGCAGGAATATTCTACCGGGTACAGCAAGCCCAGGTAAGTGTTCCACATCACACATCATCCTCTAGATGCCTCAAACCAGAGAATGAACCAGTAAGATCCACAATATACAACAGGTTAGGTCTTTATAAATTCTAAAGAATAGCATGTCCAGTTAGCCATGGCATGTTTTTGCACTGTGATTGCATGCCTTCTGAATCTAGATAGCTACCTAATGGTGTCTGTCTTTATGTTTAGGGCAGTGGTTCCCAGCCCTGGCTGTACATTAGAATCATCTGGGCTTTAAAAACATATAGCAATGCCCTGGGCCCCAAGATCACTTGAGCCAAGACAAGACAAATCTCTGGAGATGGATCCTGGGCAGGTTTTAAAAGCTCTGCCCAGGATTCCAATGAGCAGCCTGGTCCAGGCCCTCAGCCCCTCTCAACTTTAGATGACCAAAGGAATCCACTGGGGAATCTTGTTAACCTGCAGATTCTAGGCATTCTAACATAATAGATATTTTCCTAACACCCCTTTCCAGTATAAGGAAAATTGGTAGCAAAAGAGTATCTGCCAACTAGAGTCTACTGATGATCTGAATTGTGTCAGAGCTCTGTAAAAACAGCTTAAAATTAATTAGAATCAAAGACCTCCACCACTGTTTTTCAGCCCTCCCATCTGTAGGTAACGGACTGTGTAGAATTAGGGTTTGGTCTGACCTTGAAACAATCATGATAATTTGACCCAACTCTTTAGACAGAAAGAAAGGCATTCCAAATTCCCTTCACCAGCTCCTCTGAGCCCGTGCCAGAGTCTGCACTGTTTCCTTGAATACACATGTTCTCCATGGAATTTACCTCCTGTCCAGGAGGACACCCACAAGGCTCACTACTGCTATCTGCAGAGAGACTGGGCTTGACATCAGCAGTCCTTCTCGTGGCTCTGCCAAGGGCTGCGGCTGTCCTTGCAGCCTGGTGACAAATGGCCTTTAAATTTCCTGACATTTTCTGTAATTAACTCTCCTTTGTTCAAGGAGACAAGACAACTCTGAGAGTGGCTCTTGCAGCTAACAGTGGCAACCCTGAGTGTGCCCCAGGTCCCCTTTGGTCATGGTGGGCTGCCCTGAACAGAGCCCTCCAGACCCTGAGGACTTTCCTATTTCCAGTCATTAAAGGAGATTTTCACGTGACAAGGTGGCAGGGTCTAAACCAAGTCACAGGGTTGGGCTCTTTAAAACCCATAAGGCGGAACCTAAGATCTTACTGGGAAAGCAGGGGCAGGAAACCAAGAACATACTGAACATACAAGAAATCCGTGTGTGTGTGTGTGTGTGTGTGTGTGTGTGTGTGTGTGTGTGTGTCTAAACTAAAAGAAAGCACACATTTTACATGTTGGTAATTACTAACAATGGGTTTGGTACTACAGGCACATCTTGGAGATATTCTAGGTTCAGTTCCAGACCACCTCAATAAAGTGAGCACTGCAATAAAGCAAGTCATAATCTCTTTGTTGGTGGAGGGTCTTGCCTTCAAATTATAAAAAACACAACATCTGTGAAGTGCAAAAAGCAAAGCACAATAAAATGAGGTATGCTTGTATTACCATCTTTGGGTGCAAATTCTCCCTTCCCTACATTTTCAAAATGATGCTTATAAACCCATTCTGCTCAGCTGCCAATCACATTCCTGCCCATGGCTCCCCCCACCCCCCGCCCGGTGTTTGAGTTGTCACCCAAAAGCACAAAGCCTTTCTGAATTTGTGCTGAAGAGCCTGACTCCCACCTGCCATGCTCCACTTCTGCCATGCGCATCTGCTTATTAAAGGTTCTGAGAAGTCCTGTGGTATAAGCCCATCTAACTGTTTAAAACAGCTTTTACCCAAATGTCATTCATTCAGCAATATTTACAAAGTGCCAACTCGAGGCCAGGAGTTCTTCTAGGTCGTGGGGATATGTAAGGTAACACACACTCCCTGTTCTCACGGTGCTTGGTGCTAACAGAGGATGACAAGACATAAACAAACAGAGCCATTAATGTATAGGATCACACCTATGTATAGGGCACTCGATGCCACTGATGGTAACAAAGAAGAGTAAGGGACAAAGGGAAAGCCTCTAGTAGGGTATGATGCTGAGAAGAGGCAAAGCAGAGTGAGGAGACAAATAATACAGCCACCTGGATGAAGAACTTGGCTGGATCCCAGAATCCCAAGAGCAGCAAGGAGACCCATGACCCTCGTGGACTGAACACCAACGAAGAATCCTGTCAATGGCCCTTTACTAAGATGGAAGCTCCTGGTCCCCATCCCCATCACACACAAACCCCAGGGGAAGGACCATGTGTCTAATGTTCAGTTTCTAAAACATTCTCCCAAAACATATCTAGACACTAAAGTAAACTGTACAAAAATAATCCAGTAATGCACAACAAACTGATAACCCTGGGAGGACTTGCAGGAAGAAGGGAAACTAGACAGCTGAGGGCTAGAGCAACGGGGGACATTCTACAAAGAAGTCAACCTTTTCAGGCCTTTGAGTTTGAACTAAAATGTATTACCTAATCAATAAAATTATTAAATCACAACTTAATAAAATAAAACATTGCATATGATCATAACATATATAAAGTTCTATTATGGTACCTGTGATTTTTAGATTCATAGTTAGGGTTTCCCTCAGTCTAAGTTCAGAAATTTCCTGTGTCTACTTGGCCATCATTACAATTTACCATCTTAGAATGACTGCTCATCTAGTCACATCTGTCCTAACTCAGGACGGATATGAGGTTAAGCCAGATTTTCAAGAATAATAATAAAGAACAAATCATTAGCAAATACCTGTGTAGGGCTCACTGCATGTCAGGCACTCCTCTTAGCAAGTACTAAACTCAACTAATCTCCAGGCCAGGCTTGCTCCTATAATATTTAAGAAAACATTTCTTCAAAATATATGTGTACAAACTCCTATTGAGGAGTTTTAATGTTCCTAAAATCTCCACATGAGCAAGAAAGGAGGCAGTAAGAGTACAAAATGATGCAAATCTCAGCTAACTAGTGAGCGCATGTTCTCCTTCACATACCTTCTGAGGCCTGGGGTCCACATTTCCCAGCAGTATTTACTTTGCCCGAGGTTCTTGCTTCCTCCTGTCACTGTATAGGATAAATTTTAAAACCAATTAGCATCATTAAAAGCGACAAGATCAACTTACTTAACACAACTTGGTTTATACAAAGTGGTTAACCACTTTGATTATTCAAGTACATTTTCCACAACAGGTTTCTTATAGAGGTGGGTAATACTTGGATTTCTTGGTAAGTGAACAAGCATTCTAAATGTACCAACAATGCCAACTATTTAAAAGAATGACCTGCAATGTAGTATGAAAAGAGAAATATGTTTTGTAGCAAAAATAATCAAATCCTGTTATACCTGTTTTATATATTTGATATTGGGTAAAGAATTTCTGTGTAAGATGATCAAAACTTCCAACGCAAGGTGTTCCCTGGGTTTTGCATTTCTCCGAGCTTTAACACCCTAGCAAATTCTAGTCAAATGTCATATCATGAATAACCAGAAATAAGTAACCCTCATGAAATTAGAGAGATTACAGATTTGACAACATTTAACAGAATTGTATGGCAAAATAAACAACTCATTTGACACACAATGCAGCCCAAACTGCCTGGGATGCATGTGGCACAGTTCAGCTGTGCTTCCCTCAACTCTTACGAACTCAATGTGAAAATTAAAAGCAGTTTCATGTTACGGAGATAAAAAGATTAAGCTTTATGTACTCACATCCAGATTCTTCCAGACCGGTATCGGGAGAAAACAGACTCTCTTGGCTGCTGCAATCTCTAAGGCCCTGCATTCACCTCTCTCCCTCCTTTCCATGTCTGGCTCCCTCCCACCTTCTTATTGTATAACCTCAAGCATCTGAAAAATGACCTGCCTGTAAATGCAGATGGCCTACGATATGCACTAATTCTTTCCTTTCTTTGTTCAGTTCTGTGAGCACTCCAGGTAAGGAAAGAATTTTTCTGTCCGGTATTTCTTTGAGATTCTTTTCTTCAGGGTCAAGAGCAAAGATGGAACGATTTTTCTTTTCATCTTAACCCAAGATGGACTATGTCCTCATTTTAAGGGGAAAAGGGAGAAGGCCACTTCTCTCTGTGTGTCTTTCCTCTTTCACCCAGTCACTGGAAAGGGTAAATCCTGGAGACCAGCAAGCCGGAGCTAGACTCAGCTGCCTAATTTGAAAAATGTCTGAGACATTTCTCACCCTGGCAGTTAAAACTGACCAGTACCCAACCCTCCGTGGCTCAAAGCCCCAGACTTTGGATTTTTCAGACAAAAACTCCTTTATGACAGCGCTCCCGCTTAGCTGCCCAGAACCTGGCCGCGCTGTTTTCTATTCACGGTGGGCCCCGTCAGCCTTGGAAACAAAAACGACAGCTTTGGAAGGCCCGGTTCATCTTCCCAGCCACAAGTGCAGAATTCATGCCTCAACCTCAACTTCTGACAGGCCTCTGGGTTGTCAAAAGCGCAGCTGAGCGCACTCTGGGGCCTGGCTGGAGGGAGACTGCATTTGCAACCTTCCCTTTCAGTTCACCCACCAAACTGTGCACTTAGGAAAGGGCGCACACGGCCCCGCATCCCTGCATGCTCCCTGCACCCAAGAGGAACCTTTTCTTCCTCTTTCCGCCGCAATTACTAATGCAAAATCTCAGCCCAGGATGAAAGAAGTGACAGATCACCGCGTGTCCATAATCCCAGCGAGCCCAGCATCCCGCGGGGAGGATGCGCCTCATCGCCACAATGAACGCAAGGAAGGTTCTCCCCAGGAAACCCGCCAACTAGGAAGGTCCGCACGTCGCCAAACACTGGGATGCTGCTCGCAGAGAGAAGGCGGCTCGCCCCATCAGTCCACCCGGGTGGTGTGGGGGGCGGGTGTGAACGTCCGTGGAACCAGCCCCCGGCCGGGCCCCGAGCTCACCCTCCGTTGAGCCGGAGCGTTTCCGCGGCCCTTCCGCGAAGCTCAGCGCGGCCTCCGGGGCTGGGGGCCAAGGGCGCGGGTCCCGGCGTCCGGAGCGGGCAGCCCGCCCGCCCGCAGGTCCCCCGCGCCGCCGCGCCTGGCCCGGGAAGAGCCGGCCGCGGCGCCGGAAAGAGGAACCCCACGCGCCGGGCCCTCTCGGGGGGCGAGGCCACCACCGCCCCCCGCGGCCCCCGCGCGCCTGTACGCGTCGGTACGTGCCACCCGCGGGCTGGGCGCGTCCACACCGCCAACCCGACGTGCGCGCGCCGCCGGCTCCTCCGTGCGCGAACCCGCCGCCGTGCCACCGGGCGCGCGCCTCCGGGCCGGGCCGGCGCGAACGCACAGAGGCCGGAGGTGGCACGGCAGGGGGTTCCCAGCGACCTTGTCTGCCCGGATCTTCCTCCCCATGAAAACAAATTACACCCCAGGAAATTACCGGGACACGGGCGGCCGCATCGCGTCCCACCAGGTCTCCAGCCAGAACACAGGTTTGGTGTTTCAGAACGGAAAAGCGCGCACACACATACACACACACACACACACACACACACACACACACACACAAAACCCCAAAGTTGGAAAAATAGGTGCCTGCCAACATTTCCCAATCAGCCTCGCTAGGAAAAGCGGGGCCTCTGTTCTTTGCCCAGCCTCCGCGGCAGCCGGTCGGGGGACGTACCTTTGCTGTCAAGGCAGAGCTGATTAACAAACAACTGAGAAAGGCCCGAACAGTGCACAGTCCTGTGGAGTTGTAACTTTACAAACTCTAAAAAAATTTTTCATTTACAGTTGATATACAATAATATATTCGTTTCCGGTGTACAAGGTGAAGGGATTACAAAGTCCAAGTTGCTAGTTGTAACTTAACCTGCAGAAGTGGATGTGACAGCAGGATTTTAGAACCTGGTATGGAAGTCATTCCCAAAAGGGTAAGAGGTTTTATGCCCTGGAAAAGGTAAAGTAGTTTTGTTTTGATCTAACCTACATGTTTGTTAACTACCTCACTATTCTATATCCATTTAGCAAGCAGGGTAATATAGATATGTGCACACAAACACACACATTTTTGTCATGCATTCAAGAAAACAGCGTTTTTGTTTTGTTTTTGTCTACCCTGTTGGTTCCCTCCTCAATTAATTAAATATATCAGTGGGGCACGGTCTTTCAAGATTTCACTTTTTTAAAAAAAATATATTTTATTGATTTTTTACAGAGAGGAAGGGAGAGAGATGGAGAGTTAGAAACATCGATGAGAGAGAAACAGCGATCAGCTGCCTCCTGCACATCTCCTACTGGGGATGTGCCCGCAACCCAGGTACATGCCCTTGACCGGAATCGAACCTGGGACCTTTCAGTCCGCAAGCTGACGCTCTATCCACTGAGCCAAACCGGTTTCGGCAAGATTTCACTTTTAATGTGAAATTTAAGCCGGCATAGCTTAAAACGGCAAGATGTTCTACTTGGCCTAAATATCAAGACATTCAGCCCTTTGGGCACTATGGTCAACCTGAGACATTTCCTTTCTTCTTGAGGATTTGAATGGGCCCACATATATGGGAGAAGCACAGTAAGCAAAATTGGAGCTTAGATGTGACATGGAATATTGGGCAGGACTTAAGGGCCCAGTCTCTGGGAAGTAGACCTCTTGAGTTCAAACCCACATCTGTCTTGTGATCCTGTCTTCTTTTACCTTTCTCTGCCCCAGTTTCCTCATCTAGAAAATGGGATTATATGGTATTTACCTCAGAGTTTGCAAAAGAGTAATGGAGATACTGCATTTGAAGTACATAGCACAGTTCTTCCCCAGTTGTGAACCTCACAACAAACATAAGCTACTTTCGTTATTATTATTTATTGCATTCCCAGGATGCTGTTCAAATATTAAACGATAATAGTTCTTTCCAGGGGCTTGCACTTTGACGACTAAGATAACTGAGTATTTTTCTTGGGGTTTTCCCAAATTATTTCAGTTCCCTTTGTTGTTTCTATAAATGAGCTTCAGGAAAGTATTAGCAGTTAATCTTTATAACAGGAGGATAGTTTCTAAAATAGTGGTTCTCAAAGTATGATCTGTGGACCTCTAGAGGTTGCGATGTTAAAACTACTTTCATAGGACCTACAGAAGGCCAAGACAGATGGAAACATGTTCAAAATCACTAATCATCCGAGAGATGCAAATCAAAACGACAATGAGGTACCATCTCACATCTGTCAGAATAGCTGTCATCAACAAATCAACAAATGACAAGTGCTGGCGAGGATGCAGAGAAAAAGGAACCCTTGTGCACTGCTGGTGGGAATGCCGACTGGTGCAACCACTGTGGAAAACAGTATGGAGTTTCCTCAAAAAATTAAAAATGGAATTTCCATTTGACCCAGTAATCCCACTTCTAGGAATATATCTCAATAAATCAAAAACACCAATCAGAAAGGATATATGCACCCCTATGTTCATAGCAGAACATTTTATAATAGCTAAGATTTGGAAACAGCCTAAGTGCCCATCAGCAGATGAGTGGATTAAAGACAATGGTACATCTACACAGTGGACTACTACGCTGCTGTAAAAAAGAAGGGACTCTTATCTTTTGCAACAGCATGGATGGACCTGGAGAGCATTATGCTAAGTGAAATAAGCCAGTCGGAGAAAGATAAATATCACATGATCTCACTCATTTGTGGGATATAATGAACAATATAAACTGATGAACGAAAATAGAGCTAGAGAAAAAAATATATTTTAGAATATAATAAAAGTAATCCTGTTATTTGCAGATTTTTAATATTTCCTATTCCTACAACTTTTGTGATATTATATTATGTTAGTATAGTTTTGGTAATATTATATTTTAATTCTTTTTTCTTGAAATATTAATTTTTATTGCATGTAATATTATATTTAAAATCGTTTTTCTTGAAATATTAATGTTTATTGCATGTAACATTATTATACTTAAGATTGTTTTTCTTGAAATAAAAAAAAAATTCCCTGAATGCAAGGGAACAAAAGTGAAAAAACAAACCAAAAAAAAACATACTATCACAATAATACTAGAATGTTAGTTGTCTTCACTATACAGGTATTTGCTCTGATGGTGCAAAAGTCTTGGTGGTAAAACTGTGACACTTAGCATGAATCCAAGCAGTGGAACAAAATTGACTTGGTAGTCACCCCCATACACTTAAAGTAAAAACAAACATACCAAAGTGTCACAGAGGGAAGCCCCCTTCAGAATGGAAGGGCAAGTGCACAGAGCACTCCTGCATACCCAGGTGTGGTGGTTGTCAGGAGGCAATGCTCTTGGGCGATGGTTTGCAATGCAAAACAGCTAGCTGCTTTTTTTAATGGAACATCACCATTTTACTTGAAAGGACTGACAAACTGATTCCAGAAGCATGGGTATTTGGCAGTCATTTTCTCCCAAATGAATGAAATGAGCCTATCATTTCAAGGAAAACAACTGAGAGTGTTTGTCGCCAATGGCAAAATTCAGACTTCCAAGTGAAAAATCAGATTTTTGAAAAGACTGCATTTGCCACTATGAGTTTGACAACATCCCAATATTTAAAGATTTTTCTGATGAAATCAGTGGTCATACTAACAATCTTTTAAAAAAAATATGTGGTATACTGATAAACTGATTGTGGCAAAATAAGAAATATATACCTGGCCTTTTCTCCAGTTCATGACTGAGACTTCTAAAACCTTTGTAAAGTCCCAAATGATAGGAGTGATAGGATCATCCCTTGTTCTAATATTTGGTCTTTGTTCCTGACAAAACGCTCCTACTCTTTGGGTCTCTTGATAATTTTTAAAATATATTTTTATTGATTTCAAAGAGGAAGAGAGAAGGATAGAAACATCAATGATGAGAGAGAATCATTAATCGGCTACCTCCTGCATGCCCAACACCAGGGAATGAACCCACAACCTGGGCATGTGCCCTGACCAGGAATTGAACCCATGACCTTCTGGTTTATAGGTCAATGTTCAACCACTGAACCACACTGGCCAGGCTGGGTTTCTTAATAATTTTTAAGAACTGTACATGGGTTTGAAAACTGCTATTCTAAAATAACTGCTACTCTTTTACCAAATTCTTAATGGTAAAAGAAAAATATACCAGATTCTTTTACCCTCCATAACTGCCAAGTGTGCATCTTTAAAGTCAGAGCTAACAGTGCCTGAGCTGGAGGTGGCACTGGGGAATGACAGAAATTAACCACTAACCAAAAAGTATTGCCATCTGTTTGAACCAAACCTGTGCATTAATCAAATCGATACTTTTAGAAAAACCCAGATGCCTCTTATAGAGAGCATAGGTTATATGGACAACCATCATCCCATGAGAGTAGGAATTTGCCATTTCATCTGAACATTCTATGGTATTGAGATTTTTTAGAGAGTTCGTTTATGTTGCTCTCAGACCTAGCAGCTGCTTTCTCCAGCTCAGCCTTCAAGATGGGGAAATCCTTCACCAATTTCATGTGCAAGGAGGACTTGCATCCCGCCTCCACATCCAATATCAAGAAAGTATGGATGGCAGAACAACAAAAAAAAAATCCTGTATAATAAAAGAGAAACATGTAAATTGACCATTCCTCTGCTACACTCACCAGCCAATCAGGAATGAGTATGCAAATTAACCCATCAGCTTGTGGGGACATGGCTCCCTCGGTCGCAGGGCGGAGAGCAGAGCAGGAGGGCCAGAGGCTTGGGGGGCCGTGGCTCTCTTGGTCGCTCCCAGTGTGGGGAGCACCAGGAATGCTGGGAATCGTAGTTCTGGTGTCAGATGGATCTCCTAGACACTAGAGCAGCCGTGGGCAAACTACGGCCCGCGGGCTGGATTCGGCCCATTTGAAATGAATAAAACTAAAAAAAAAAGACCGTACCCTTTTATGTAATGATGTTTACTTTGAATTTATATTAGTTCACACAAACACTCCATCCATGC